AGTTAGCCAATCGTGGCAAATTCTCCTAGGATTTGTCATGATGTTTTCCAGGGGAACCGCGAAATCTTGCGTTAATGGTTTACGCTGGCCGGCCATCAGTGGAGGATGATAAGATGAACATAAGGTCAGGTCAGTTAGCCCATCGTGGCAAATTCTCCTGGGATTTATTATGATGTTTTCCAGGGGAACCGCGAAATCTTGCGTTTGTGGTTTACGCTGGCCGGCCATCAGTGGAGGATGATAAAATGATTATCCTCCACAGAGTGGGTTCGGTCAGGTCAGTTAGCCCATCGTGGCAAATTTACCAGTAATTTATCACAATGGTTTCCAGGAGAAATGCTTAGAGGTCAACCCGACAGTAGTAATTTAACAGAACTGTGCTTGGAATTCAACGTTGAAAGCTGTTCTCCGGCAAGAAATTACAAGTCCAAACCTTAGGTGACAATCATTTCATTACGTCGCTCAAATTTTGTTATACACCCTTCCTCCCTTCATAGATCCGTTCCACAAAAACACTATTTTAAAGTTAGCACGAAAGGTATCGTTCTGTGAAACCGTAAAGGCCAGCTGCTTCAAAAAGCATAAAAAGCATTAGAATAAGAATAGTACGAAACATGTTGTGTTCGTTTGTTTCACTGACAAAATTAGAGACCGTGCTGGCTTAGTAGTTAGTAAACTGCCATATAAAAGATCCTGAGTTCAAAGCTAGGGACACACATTTGCTCCCTAATTCGATGTGGCTGGAAAACTACCGCGGCTTCGCAGAAAATTCGCAGGAATTTTCTTCACCACTCAGTTAAAGAAATATCAATTCAGAATGAAATCAGGAATACAAATGATAAGGTTATTTTTTCTGCTGTCGTATTATTTTGGTATAAATAAGTTACTAGACCACTCTCTCAGCGTCTTCAGAATTGCATTATCGCAAATAACCTGCAAACTTTTTATAGGCAACTAATGGAGTTGTCATTAACATTGGCCACGGGTTCATAAAATGTTACACACCAAACATTTGAACCAAACTATTGTAAAATACGACCAATATTTGTATTAGGATCTGAGTAGTAAGTATCTATAGGTTTTTTTGTAGTAGTGCGCACAGTTTAGATTCACCTTTTTATTTTTGCAGACCGGAGTCTGCATTCCTATTTGCTCAGGATGATTTAGATTTTTGAGGTATTTTTATGTGGTTTAATTTGTTGGGAGATTTTTAAATACTTTATTTATTTATTTAAGATGCACAATGTATAACCGTTTGTTGACAAGATATAGAACATATATTGATTTGATTGTATCATAAAGGCGGATCTCTTAAATGTTCTGGAACGACGTTAGGTACAAAAATATAATATAAAAATTTGATATTCATAACCGGCTAAAATGTCCTACGCGTATAAATGATTTTTGAATTTTAATTTGAATTTGGAGGAGGTGAAATACGGTAGGAAAGTGTGCAGACAAAGTCGCGGAGAAAATAGTGTCAAATGAAATAAGTGGCGTGCTTGTGTTTTATTAGGCACTTACACAATTTGTGTGTAGCCGACTGCGAATCTAAAAATATGAAAGCCAAGCAAATCTCCAGAAAGTTGAGTGTACCGTCAACCTCTTTGGACTAGGGTTGTCACGTTATCGTGGTGCCAACGCGACCTCGCCACTCCGGCAATGGCGCTCGTGATGAATGGGTGACAATCCCACACACCCTCTCGACACCCCTCTGACCGTGACGGACTATAGAAGATTTTTCCACAGAATATAAAAGATTTTAACACATGATTCCGCCAGTGTCACGGTAGAATGTTAGTAGTTAAGAGGTAGACTTAACTAGGGAGTAGTGACAGCATTGCTACCAATATACCACACTATCATCGCAAATAAAGCAGTGTGCTCAACCGCTAAACCACCGAGACCGTCATGTCATAATAATAGACACACGGATAACAAAACCATAAAAAGTAGCAATATTAAGTTTTATACATTTTAATTATAAAGGGAGGAAAGGATTGTCAGTATAGGGGATTAATAACCCCATTGCTATCTATGTACTACGTCAGGTCGATCTCCACGTAAGCCTCATAGATCTTAGTTAATTCCTCGTAAATTTTCCACGATGAGCTAACTGACTTGACGTCATGCTCATCCTATGTTCCTCCACTTTAACGCCAATGCTGGAGTTGCAAGGACACGGTAGCGTCTACCGCTACTCCAGCGACGTTGGCCCGCCCTGCAGATGGTATAGGGCAGGTCCCATCTCGTTGTTAGGGCGATCTATTGAGGAAACGTGTGGATCGTCATGCTCATCCTATCGTCCTCCACTGCCAGAGTATACCGTATTTAACGCCAATGTCGGAGTTGCGACGACACGGTAGCTTCTACCGCGACTCCAGCGGCGTTGGCCCGCCCTGCAGATGGTATAGGGCAGGCCCCATCTCGTTGTTAGGGCGATCTATTGAGGAAACGTGTGGATCGTCATGCTCATCCTATCGTCCTCCACTGCCAGAGTATACCGTATTTAACGCCAATGCCGGAGTTGCGAAGACACGGTAGCTACTACAGCGACTCCAGCGGCGTTGGCCCGCCCTGCAGATTGTATAGGGCAGACCCCATCTCGTTGTTAGGGCGATTTATTGACGAAACGTGTACATGCACGCGCACGCTTCCAAGGCTAATTAGTTGAGGCGCAGCCTAAACTACTGCGTTAGGTCCTATTCGATCCATTCGGTCCTTCTATTTCAGACTAATCTAATGCTGTTGGCCGCAGCTGGCCTTTACAGCTTCACCGGACGATAGTGCAGATGGCATTCCAAACCTGCGGAAGGACTTGAAGCCCAACTCCCGCGTGACGGATGCGATTTTAGTCTGAGGGCACCAATAAGGATTCTAACCTCGGCTCATGCACTCGTAATTTCGATTCCCGTTTGAATTGGACGGGGGATCGATGTGGAAGGGTGTGAAAATGTGGATACACACGCACGCCTCTTTTGCAATTTAGTGCCGGCGCTGCCTAAAATGAGTGTGTCAACCCTGGCCGCGACCTACATAAAGGCAGTGCTGATTATACCACGCCACGACGCCGCGCTGCCAAAACATAGCCGCTAATTGTTTGAGATATAATTACTAATCACTACTTTCACATCATTGTTTCGAGTGAAAGTGGCAGGACTTTGTGATTGTTAAATGTCAACTGTAGTGTTTTTTATGGATGATAATGGATTGGTGCAAGTGGATGGAGGAGGGCTATGCCAAAAGGCACACTGAAATTAGAGACATATTATAAAAAAAAAAAGAATTTGTATACTATAGTTAAAAAATAAAAAACATTTGTAAATTTCAGAATAAATGGCTTATTATAATGGATTGGTGCACCCGCCTGCGCTAACGGTTTACGCTGGCGGGGCACCAGTGGAGGATGATAAGATGAGCATGAGGTTAGGTCATTTAGCCCATCGTGATATAATCACCAAGAATTTATCACGACGGTTTCCAGGGGGAACCAAGTGGAGGTCAACCTGGCATGGTACATTGCTAGCAATAAGATCATCAATCCACATTACTAACAATCCCCGTTCCCCCCTCAACTAGTGTTGCCACCTCAAATCGGGGTGGGGATTGGTAGTAACGGGGAAGGGTAAAAAAAAACCACGACGTATTCAAAATTTATTTATTCGGATAACAATATATTTACTTAATTATAAGCAAAAAAGGGCTGTGCTACAGGTGTCCACTTTTCCATAACTTACAAACATAAAGGTTATGTACAAAATCTAATCTTATATATAAAATACTCGTGTCACAGTTTTCGTTCCCATACTCCTCCGAAACGGCTTGACCGATTCTCATGAAATTTTGTGAGCGTATTGAGTAGGTCTGAGAATCGGCCAACATCGATTTTTCATCCCCCTAAATGTTAGCTAATTTTTTTTTTATTTTAAGGCAAAACAACTTTTGCCGGGACAGCTAGTAGTAGTATAATGTATTTGTAAATGCAATGTAGTCGTGATAAAGTAAAACAACATATAGATACGTATCATGTATCGTTGCAAATATTATTATATATACTAGCCATACCCGCGACTACGTCCGCGTGGAAATTAATTTTATTTGTCTGAAATAAGAGAATTTTACTAAAATAAAAGTAACCTAAGTTACTCCTAATTACTTTAGCTACCTGCCAAAAAAAGTTCTGTCAAAATCGGTCCAGCCATTTCAGAAATTAGCCGGAACAGACAGACAGACAGACAAAAATTGTAAAAAATGTTATTTTAGTGTATATACCGTATTTATATTCATATGCATGTAGTAAAAAACGGTTATTTCAATATTACAAACAGACACTCCAATTTTATTTATACGTATAGATGTATTATATGATTATACCTATTCAAACTTAATCTGACAGGGTTAATTTTGAATCGATATAAAATTGTATTACATTGTAATATGATTTATTGTCAATTGTTACAATCTGATATATTGTAGACGATTAACAATTGTGATAATCTGTGGTGACGTAATTAAAATTGAACTTGAAACCCTTCACACACACACACACTCACATTCACTCACACACACACACACACTCACATTCACTCACACACATACACACTCACATTCACTCACACACATACACACACTCACTCACTATGTTCTTATTGCTAGCTATCTTATAGGCTAGCATTGTACCATGTCAACCTGATATGGTACATTGCTAGCAATAAGATCATCAATCCACATTACTAACAATCCTCTTACGGTGTTCTATCAACGCCTAAAATACAAGGGGTGTTACCGAAGGACTGTATTAAGGCTGGTTTAAAATGAGACACGTTCAGATCAGTTAGCCCAACGTCACAAATTTACCGGGAATTTATCACGATGGTTTCCAGGGGGAACCGCGTGGAGGTCGACCTGATATGGTACATTGCTAGCAATGGGATCATGAGTCCACATTACTAACAACCCTTTCCCTATATTATTAAGATTGAGATATATGCTTGTTTCAGGTTGGACGTATACCAGCAGACCATCCTCTGGTGGGCGGGCACAAAGGCCCAGTGTTAGATATCGCTTGGTGCCCACACAATGACAACGTCATCGCCAGCGGCTCCGAAGATTGCGTTGTTAAGGTAACATATTACATACCTACAGGGTTACTGATAACTACTACGTCGAGTATTCCCGTCACGACGAGATAGAGGAGCAAATGTAATAATTTTGACCCTATATATGTATGGCCGAAAGTTAATAGTGTTCGAGTTATTCTGAATTTTGTGATTTTTAAAAAAATATCCAAATTTTTTTTATCATTAGAACATTATTAAAAAAAAATGGCGTGTTGAATGTCTTTCAACCTAATTTTTATGTGTAGAGGACGTGGTAACAAAACATAATAACTCACAAAATACCCATGAATGCTTAATAAGTAATAGCTATGACTACAACCTTTTTTTTTTAATAAATTAAACGTCACTTGAGTTTAAGTGCCATGTAGCTTAAAAAAAATATTATGACTCTAAGCGTACAAATTACTAATAAAACTTTCTCATCTAATAAACTATAATAGTCGATATTTAATAGAAAAAGAATAATTAAAAAAAAAATTTCTTAACGGTAAGGAGAATTTTTAAAAGGTGTCAACTCATTTTGGACAGTTAAATGAAACAAATTTATACAGAAATAAAAGTTTATTATTTTTATAAATCTTGCTCAATATGAGCCCCACGATTTCGAATGCATGTACGGACACGTTTTCGTATGTCTGTTTTTGTAATCCGTAACGAAAATGTGCTTTTCATTTGTTCAGTTTTCTTGACGTAGGCGTTCACGCCATAGTAGCTTTATGCATGCAAAGTCTCAGCCCGATCGGTTTAAAATTGACAAAATTTCATACAAACTTTCAACCCCTATTTTATTCCCTTGAGGGTAGAATTAATCAAAATCCTTTCTTAGCGGATACCAATGTCATAACATCTACCTGCATGCCAAATTTCAGCCCGATCCGTCCAGTGGTTTGGGCTGTGTGTTGATAGATCACTATGTCAGTCAGTCACATTTGAGTTATATATATTTAGATATTAGTGCCTAAGATAATTGTAATAGATTGTAAATTTGTTTGATAGGTTTGGCAAATACCAGACGGCGGTCTCTCCCGGACTCTCACCGACCCGGTGGTAGATCTGGTGTACCATCAGCGGCGAGTGGGGCTGGTGCTGTGGCACCCCACCGCTCAGAATGTGCTCCTCACTGCTGGCTCGGATAACCAGGTTTGTTGCATCAATATAAATAGAAATCTTTATGCAAATAATAATAATATTTAATTGTATAATAACATTTCTAATACGCAGCATGCATTTCTACCCTCCAATCGATCCCCCGTTCAATTCAAACGAGGATCGAAATTACGTCGGCCTGAGACCAGTTTCGAACCCATAGCGGTGCCCTCAGACTAAAGTCGTATCCGTCAGGCGGGAGTTGGCCTTCAGCCTCTCCATAAGTGCTTCCTTGGTTTGGAGTGCCATCTGCACTCCCCCCTATCGTCCGGTATAGCTGTAAAGGCCAGCTGCGGCCAACAGCTTTAAAGTAGCCTGAAAAAAAAACATGCATTTTAAAGAATTTACTACTAGTATCTAAACTACGAGCCTCATCATAGATACTAGTTTCTTCCAGCTACAAATAAATAAAAATTAAAATGTTGTAATTGCGTGGGTAGATGTACATTTCAACTTACAAATTAACTTAATATAACACGGCCTCGGTGGTTTAGTGGTTTAGCATACAGGTTTACTTCCGATGGTCACGGGTGCGATTCCTCGCACGGTATAAACTTTTGTATTCTTATGAGTATGATTGTTTGTATCAAACTGTCTGTATTCTAGATATATTATGTATGTATTAAAAAAAAAGTATCTATGTATTTACGTCAGATGTCCAGTACCTATAATATAAGCTCTGCTTAACTTGGGACTAGATGGCGCTGTGTGAATTGTCCAAGGATATTATTCTTATTATTTAAGCATTTTTTTAAGCATTCGTAACGCACACTTATCACTAGAAGAGCGAGTAAAAAACTTACGTGTTGCTCTTTTAAAAAATCGTTGGAACTTTCAATTTTAAATTGAAATGTGTGAATACAAACTACCAACTAGGACTAATTTAGGCAAAATATTGAAATTGTTGAAATTTATATCAGTTATTGGACGTATGCCAACTGGGGAAGATTTATGTGGTGCAAGTTATGATTTAATGACCACAAAGTTGGCTAAAGTGTGAATATATCGGTGGTTTTAACCTTGAACATGTTTGTTTGTGCTGAAAACATTTGAATACACTAAAGGCCAGCAAACAGCGCATCAGTCTCAAATCAAATCAAAATATCTTTATTCATGTAGGTCATAAGAGTCTGTAATAATCATGTATTCATTACAGACTTATGATATCGCTGATAACGCAAAAAACAGTCATTTTTGTTCCAAAAAAAGACACTAACTAACACATAGATATAGCACTTATAGATTCGTAAAAAAACTAAAAATATCACAGGGAAAATTTTGAACGGCGGATTTAGGGGGTTGGGGGGGGGGGGGCATGAGGGCCATGAACTGGTTCCAGGACTTAGGTGGAGTACTAATTGAACATAATGATTTTAATTATATATTTTGTCATCATACAGATTTTATGTAACTATATTGTAATTAATTTAATATAATATAATAACCCCCTCCTGGCGCTAAATCTAGATCCGCCCGTGGGATTGTCCCAAGATATTATTATTATATCTAAATCAGCCACCAAATAGTTAAGTAACTTGCTTCGTAAGCAGTGTTTTCGTTGTAGGGTGCAGATTAGGCAGTGACATTACAGGATAAGAGGCATGGCATCTTAGTCCTCTGGAATGAAAACGTATGAGTGGTATATGTTCATCATCATCATCAAGTGTCATCTGATAACATGATGTCCACAGTGTTGTTCATGTGTATAGGCTACTGTTACCACTTACCATCAGCTGGTTCACCATTCCAATCACTTTAAAAAGCATTTAATAAAATTTCTGCGATATTATCTCCACCAGATAGCGATATGGAACGTGGGTACAGGTGAGGTGCTGATCACACTGGACTGTCATCCAGACCTCATCTACTCGGCCTGTTGGAACTGGACCGGCTCCAAGCTCCTCACCACCTGCAGGGATAAGAAAATCAGGTAAATCTTACTTACTAACGACAATTAAGGGGAAAAGGGGATTGTTAGTAATGTGGACTGATGACCCCACTGCTAGCAATGGCCATGTCAGGCTGACCTCCACATGTTTATATTTTTTGTTTTATTTATTTATTTCAGGCTACTAGGCCCATATTATGAATACCCTAAAGAATAACATACTTATGAATTAATATTATATAACTAATATATTAAAATTGTCTGTGTGGTCACGGTACTGATGGCGGCAATTTGCTACGATACACCACGCCCATCAGCCAGTAGTCCTCCTTCATGAAGGTGGGCAGCATGTTGGTGGGGACCCGGGCCATGAATGTCTTTCATATACAGCCAGCGATTAAAAACTCTTTCAATCTGCGGCTCGTTGCCAAATACTTAATTTAAAAATATATATTTTTTGTTTTCAGAATAATAGACCCACGTAAGGGTGAAGTGGAGTCAGAGGCAATCGCTCACGAAGGCAGCAAGGCATCCAGAGCTATTTTCCTCAAACATGGTCTTGTCTTTACCACCGGGTAAGAACTATAGAAATAGAAATAATCTTTATTCAAATAAACTTAATATAAGCACTTTTGAAAAGTCGCTTTTTCTATTCTACCGCTCCTTAGAATGTATCTCTCTCATCTCACTCATGACAAGAAGAATGAACAAGAAACACACCAGGTGTTGCTCTATGTAACTACATATAAGACTCAAAGTAAATTCAGATCATCATAGCCTTATCGTTGCCTCGATTTAAATAATAAAATTTCAGGACAATCCACACAGTGCCATCCAGTTCTAAGCTAAGCAAGCAGGGCTTGTGTTATGGGTACTAAAGAACTGAGATAAATAGTTAAATACATGGAAATACAGTATAAAAAAAGTATGTGTATCATTTGTCTAGTACACTAGGTCTGAATTGTCTTTAATTATTATTGCATTTCACGCCAACAACGTCGCGGTATATGCCTAGTGTTTTGTGTTTGTTGTTGGAGTGTTGTTCATCATGATTAGGGCCCTCACTGGACACTGTAAATTGAATAAACACATGGCAAAATTAGGCTTCAGCTTAACAACATTCTGCAGATTCTGCCAAGCAGAAGAGGAAACGCCACTACACATCCTATGTGGTTGTAGCCCACTCATGCGGAAGATCTCCTTTGGAAAGTATAGAATATACCCTAAGGAGATAAAAACCATCGCTCCTAAGAATATCCTTCAATTCTTCTCCGTGACGGCTCTAGGTAGCGAACTTTGAAAAAAAGGACGAGCACAATAGATCTATGTAGGTCGCAGCACTACGGATCTTAACACCTGATAATAGCCTAAATCCCAAAAAAAAATTAATTGTTGTTTCTGTTATTGTAGATTCAGCCGCATGTCGGAGCGTCAGTACACTCTGCGCACGCCGGACGCGCTCAACGAGCCGATAGTGACGGTAGAGATCGACACCAGCAACGGCGTCATGTTCCCGCTCTACGACCCGGACACCAACCTCATATACCTGTGCGGGAAGGGCGACTCGGTCATCAGATACTTTGAGGTAACACAGACACACAGTCTCTCTCTATCTTCTCTCACACATTAACTCTCCCTCTCTCACACACATTCAGACTCCAGCAGTACAGTGATACTATAGTCTAAGTGTATAGGATATATTTTTTTAATTTGATAAATACTTGCTCCGTGCCAACCAGGTGGTGTTGTGTGTGGAGTCAGTGAAACCTGTGGAACATATAGTATAGATAGCAATATAGGTATCTAATATAATGTAAAAGCAATAGAATATCGCGCTAAAGCTAGAGTCACAAGAATTTGTAAAGAGCAATACACAAGTTTCTTGATCGTTCGTCTTATGGTAGACAGTTCGGAATGAGTGGTAGATTAAAACAATAAGTAATGACTTAAATGTAAGTTTATTTGTTTAATGAATTTTCTGTTCTATTCTATTCTTATATAATTACTAGCTGATCGCGAATTCTTAGTGGTTTGAAATGACAAGACCTCATACTTATTTTAAACATACTCCACTTGTGCTCCGGGAACGTAAACCGTTATGCGGATGCACAGTATAGAAAAAAAAATACATTACAATAAGGCTTTATATATAATAAGACGTTTACACTATTTGTTCAGAAAATATACCACTTGATTGACGTAATTTTGTATATTGCAGGTGACACCCGAGCCGCCATTCGTTCATTACATCAACACCTTCCAAACGCCAGACCCACAAAGAGGTAAATTGTGATAAACGTATTTTCGAATCGAATCTGCGACCATCGCAAATAAGGCGTTGTACTGAATCGTTAGAGCACCGAAGCCGTCAATAACGACGATTGCAATTTTAGCGTATTTTTTTTGCTACATAGGCCAATAAAGGATGTATCATTGGCTTTGTAAAAAAAATGATTTTATGTTTCGGCTTTGGATACATATAGATTCTGTTTGCCCTGTTACACTTCTATTAATGACCTGTGAATGTGGATTTAACGAGTGTGTATTTTTTTTTATTTATATCGCTGCAATGGAAAACAGGCTTACGGCCCTGATGGTAAGTTTTAGCCGTCGCCTATGTACATTAAGACCACACATATCATGTCATCATGTGATACCTCTGAAGTGTTGATATTCCATTTTTTGTGTTATTTTGTTTTGACATATTGTGCCATGTATATCTAACTCTATACTAATATGTTTGTTTGTTTGTATTGAATAAGCTCCGAAATTACTGGACCAATTTGAAAAATTCTGTACCAATAGTATCCTCTACTATCAGTGATGAACATGGACGATAGAATATTTTCAAAAACTTTATATCTCTTTTAAGTATGAAAATTACAATAATTTCTGAAAAAACACCCATAGAATCCTTATATAGTGTATACTACAGTTTTATAGAGGACGTCAATATTGAAGCGTGTATTTGTGTGTATGTACATGCGTACGTGCTTGCGTGCGTGCGTGCGTGTGAAACTTTAATTATGTTTAAAGATTCATTATTTCAGTTTATTGCGAGGCAAACAATCGTATATTATCTATGTAACAGGACATACCCAGTGAACAATCAGTTATATTTATGTATCATCATAAAATAAGAATAAAAAACCAAACAACAAAAGACATCTAACAGCGTGTGTGTGTATAAATGTATGTTAAATTTATAATTTCTGTTAAATACTCGTGCGAAACCGCTGCCTGCTCCGGCTAGTCTATCAAAAAGTAATAAGTGAAACAAATCGTAATAGTTCAATGTATTTTACTTTAAATAAATTGCTTAAAAGATGGTAACATTTTTCCCCAGGTATCGGAATGATGCCGAAGAGAGGCTGCGACGTGGCCACCTGCGAGATCGACAAGTTCTACCGGCTCAATAATTCGGGGCTTTGTCAGGTACCGAGTTATTTTTAACTAATTATAAATGTTATAGACTTTTTTTTAATTTAATGCGGTAATAAATTATACGTAAAATTAGGAAAACTAGAATTAGCTGAGATGGATATCGAGCTAGTTTCAATAGTAGCAACAAACGAAGACGTGTGAAGGTAGACAAATATGTTGCCCATAAAATATTTACCATCGGGTAGACGGTAAATATTTTATGGGCTACTCTTCAGGATACCCGAGATTATGGCGGTTGAAACACTGCCGAAATATCGGGAACTCAATCAAATTAAGTAAAACGTGGTAAGATTCGATCCGACATTTTTCCTAATTGTATAAGCAATTAGGAAAAATGTCGGAAATACATATAGCTATAAGCTATTGTCGGATATAATAATATGATATCCCTGGACAATTCACACAACGCTATCTAATCCCAAACTAAGCAAAGCTTGTGTTATTTGTAGGTACGTCTAGTAACTTTACTCCCATAATTTTTATAAGGACTAAGTAAAGTTACTTTTATTTTAGAAAATTTATTTATATTAATAACAAAAAAAGTAACAGCTAGTATTTAATAAACTTTTGAATTTATCATGACGTAGGTGGTGTCCATGACCGTGCCACGAAAATCGGAACTGTTCCAAGAGGACCTCTACCCTGACACCCTGAGTGATGAAGCGAGCCTCACAGCGGACGAGTGGATCGCCGGCGAGGACGCCGAGCCATGCACCATGTCGCTCAAGGTACCCCTCGGTTACTGGTCGGAAACGCAACGTACAGTTGAACTATATATTCAGCGATTCGTTAATGAACATATACTGGCTTTAAAAAAAGAAATTCAGTTGATTTTCTTGCCTGTTTTTCTCAATTGAATTTGAACTGGACGGTAGGGAAATATGTATGTGTATAGTATGTAGATTCTTTCCTACATAATTGCCTTATGGTGCGTGAAAGAACATTCGTGTAAAGGCAGCTATATATATATGTAATCGTCAACTGACTATTGGAATTTATTAAGAATGAATTGTTAGCAAGTTACATTTATGCAATCCAGTTGCCACTCAAAAGAGCTATATTCTTCCTGGCTCTGTTCTATAGCAAGGCCTGAACATAACAAATGTTCAGGCCTTGCTGGATTAGAATGTAGTAATCTAAAACATAGAGAATGGCTAAAGAACCTATGTTTCCATAAAAAAGGTATCTCTTTTTATGCAAACAAATTCTGTTCAGAGAATACAGAATATGGTATTTAAATGTTAAGTTTAATAATGACGCTGTGTTGAACAAGAAGATATTTCAAGTAAGTATCCGGCTCGAAGGACCAAAAATATAGGAAGGTTTATTTCTCAGCTTTATGGTAATGCTAAATGTTCGCCAAAAAGGAAACGTTCATGTTGAGTCATTACAATCAATAAATAACTTTTTATGACAAGATTTACTTTTTGTATTGCCTCATATCGTTGAACTAGCATGTTTGGAATTTTCTGCATTAGTGTGAATAATAATATTGACTAGCTTTGGGTTTAAATAATCACACAATAACAGTATTATAATATGAATGGGATAGCTTTCAAATAGTCTAACTTTGGAATAGTCATACAATATTTTATTTATTGTACCACTCATTCGGAAAGCAGACTCATCAAAAGGAGTGAAAAACTTGCGTGTTGCTCTTTTAAATAAATAATGTTCAGATTTGCAAAATTAAGATTTTGTGGGAATACATACTTCCAAATGGCAAAATTGACATAAATAAATAAATAATTATTTGAGTAACAATATATAATAAATCAGTCATGGTTATCAGAGCAGACCAGTCTATACCAGCAAAACCTGTTCACAAGTACGTTTAAGAAAAACGGTTAAATTCATAAATATTAATAAATAAAAAAATAAATATCCCTGGACAATTAACACATCTAGTCCCACGTTAAGCAGAGTTTGTGTTACGGGTAATAGACAACTGATATAAGTATTTGGTTTTTTGGTACCAACATAATATACTTAAACACCCAGACCGATACAAACAATCATACTCATGAATACAAATGTTTGCACCGTACGAGGAGTCAAACTCACGACCATCGGAAGTAAAGCGGTGTATAACCGAGGCCGTCAATGTAATTTATTAACTTTAATAATTTTATACCTTTCAATTTAATACTTTTACCTCCCATTTTATACCTTCAAATGTCTAATAAACATATTTTATCATCATCACATCATCATCATCATCATCGAACATATTTTAGCTATAAAGACAAAGTCAAAACGGTTCAATAACCGTTCTGTCCTTGTCTTTCATGTTACATTCTTAATTTGAAATAGTGCGACAAAACATATTAATAGTTAAAATGTGTTTATTGGACCATTCTGGCATATATTGATGCATCTTAATGTTGTCTGTATTGATAATTCTGTTGGCTTCCCTGGATTGAAATATTAAAATGTGTTTTGTGTTGTGTTAACATTAATAAATAGGAGTTTTCAAATGTATTTTATACTAACCGTTGTGACTTCTCGTTTTAGTTTGTGTTTTGTAATAATTTTATATTTATTGTCGAATGATATAACATGATGATCGAATTAATTTAGTATTATTTATATTATTACTAGTCTTTGATATAATTGATCAATTTATTCGAGTCATAATTGTATTGCCTTATGTACTATAATTGTGTATTATATGAAATTTAAGAATGAATTATAATTTTCAAATCAATGTAATATAATTAGTTGAATTTCGTAGGAGTATCTTCCCTACTGGAATACCATCTTTGTTGGAATTCGAGTTTAATTTTGAAAAATATTTTTTTTATATATAGTCATTATTAACAGTTATTAATATAATATTAATGAATTATATTATAAACTAAATAAATTAAAATGAATTAATGAGAGAGATATTAAATATTGGGAAGTATAGTTTGATAATATTAGACTTTTTATAATTTTATAACCTTCAAAACTATGATCAACTCATTCGAATCCATAATAATAATAGTATTCAAAAGTTTAGAATGTATATCCGTGGTAGTCGCAAAGTGTGAGGTATGGGAGCCAACGGGAGTATCAAAAGACAGATGCTATAGGCTAGGGGCTCCCTAACCAAACTACAGGAGCGCGCGCTGGTTGTACAGGGCGGGTACGTGTCGGGCCGCGCCGCGCAACAGCTGCACGTCACCAAGAAGACCAACGCCCTCGCAGCCGCCAAGGACAAGCATCGCGACAAGGACAAGGACAAGGACCGCTCGCCCACCCCCGCCACGCCGCCCCCCGCCGCCCCCGTCGCCCCCGCCGTCGTGAGTATACTGCCCCTCGACAGGGACGAGGACGAGGACCGCTCCCCCACCCCCGCCACGCCGCCCTCCGCCGCCCCCGTCGCCCCCGCCGTCGTGAGTATACTGCCCCTCGACAGGGACGAGGACGAGGACCGCTCCCCCACCCCCGCCACGCCGCCCCCCGCCGCCCCCGTCGCCCCCGCCGTCGTGAGTATACTGCCCCTCGACAGGGACGAGGACGAGGACCGCTCGCCCACCCACGCCACGCCGCCCCCCGCCGCCCCCGTCGCCCCCGCCGTCGTGAGTATACTGCCCCTCGACAGGGACGAGGACGAGGACCGCTCGCCCACCCCCGCCACGCCGCCCCCGTCGCCCCCGCCGTCGTGAGTATACTGCCCCTCGACAGGGACGAGGACGAGGACCGCTCGCCCACCCACGCCACGCCGCCCCCCGCCGCCCCCGTCGCCCCCGCCGTCGTGAGTATACTGCCCCTCGACAGGGACGAGGACGAGGACCGCTCGCCCACCCACGCCACGCCGCCCCCCGCCGCCCCCGTCGCCCCCGCCGTCGTGAGTATACTGCCCCTCGACAGGGACGAGGACGAGGACCGCCCGCCGCCCACGTAATACCTATGGACGTCTGAAGAAACCTTAATATGCCCTTCCAGAAAGACTCCATTCTGTAGTCTCTCGAGGAAACCTCGGCAGGTAGTGCACGATCTAAGTGTACGCGGGAATATACATAAAAAACACCTAACAAATATTATTTCTAATAATAAAAAAAGCCACTAGCTGTTCTTCAATAATAAAAAAATATCTTTAAAGTTTTAAGACACATACAGTTCTTAGAAAGCACTCTAACTGACGGTAGATTTGACATATCATAAGATTCTATAATATACTTACATGAATATTTTGATTTGATTTGATTTGACATACAGGTGTCACGTCACAGACACATTGCGTCAAAGACAGCATAAGAAATGAATTTTCTGTTACCATTTCAGGAGAAGCAACTGTCCGACCTGGTGGACGAGATCCGAAAGCTGAAATCTGTTATTGTGAAACAAGAGAATCGAATCCGCGCACTCGAGGCTGCCGTGAAGGTGGTGGTGTCCCCACCGGCGGCGTCCCCGCAGCCCGTGGCCCCGGAGCCGCCCAACCACGACACGCCCGACTCGATGGCACCGGACGAAGTCTGAATACGCGTACGTTATACATTTTGTATTTTTAATCGACTAATAGTTGAGACAATTGAGTTCTCTTTCGGATGTTTGCATATTGTGTCTTTGCCTATTAGTTTTTTTTTTATTTATTTAAAAATGGCCCGTGAGTTTTTTGTGTAAACCTGAAACTGCAGAGTTTTAATTTTTAGGTGTTTTATATATTTATTACAGTATACAACGAATAGAGGTTGACAATTTAGATAATAGTAAATGAAATGTGTAAACTGTTTTATTCAGATTGTAAATTAATATGGCTGTATGATATTAGTACCTTTGCTTTTCTGAATGGAATAAAAAAATCGAATATTAAAGCAAAGTAAAGTTTTATCAAAAACGTGCAATAAAATTAGGTCATCAAAAAACTGCTCATGTACAAAATATAATAAAAACCGTTGTCTATATCGATTAAAAATACAAAACGGTTGATATTTCTTCTACAACTGACTGTATTAATATGCACTCAATGTAATATCAACTCTATTGTACATACGACAAGGTTCATTTTTCTATCTGCTTTCGAAATATATTAGAAATATTTAAAATGGATCTCGTAAGAGCAGTTGGAGAATGAATATCAACACAATAATGAAATATCAATACATATGTAATTAAATCGGAGCTATATATAATATATGTTTATATAGCTGGTTTATTGACGATTTAATATTATGATGTTTCGTTATTCAAACGTGATAGATATAGTACGTATTAATATATATATTATATGTGATGTGATTGAATCCATTTATATATTGTTCGAATTTAATATATAATCAATAACCTTAGAGTATTCAACAGGTATTTCAAAACATGTTAACCAATTTAATTTTTTTAATATATTATACACTGAAACACCAAGTCAAACAGATATGTGTATTTAAATTCAAAATATCTTTATTCATGTATTACAGACTCTTATGATATATCAAATCTACCGTCAGTTCGGAATGATTTCGCGATGAGAAGAACTGACGAGACAGTCAGTTCGTATTCTTTTCAAATACATGTTGTACATGTTTACAGTAATACAGATTCTGTTTTAAATTCGATTTTAGAGAATGGAGTAGCGTATGTAAGTATTGGTATTGTGCTCAAATACTCCAGTAACGGAAATAAAGCAATGATTTTAAGCACTAGAACTCTGAGATTGGCGCTAATTATTATAATTACATTTATTAATTGGTTAGAGATGCCTGGAGAGATTTGGGTGGTAGAAGCATTACTGGAGGCCACTCTCAGCCTTGAGGAATCGACAAAGAAGAATTGGTTAATATACAATTAAAGTTTTCTTATATCCAAAAATCCTAATAGAAACAGGTGTCACTAATAAATCAGATTCATTAACATCACATAAAGTATCTATACCATGAAAACGCATGCAATTATAATATGTATATTTATTTAATCTGTAGTTTTGTAAATAGATAAGTTATTAAGTGATACGCAGAATATGTTGTGCCTTATATACAGTAAATTGTTAGATGCAAACAACAAGATTGATTGCTCTAAATGGAATGGAGTCGTCTTTACGAATTGGTGATGTAAATTTTGTGCATTTAAATTTTACCTTTCAACTGTTAGCTGTCAAAATTAACGCCCCATCTGTGAGAGCAATTGCAGGACTCGCTGATAAATAACCCCCTGCGATTGATTCTGATACGACGGCTTGAGCCGAGGTGCGAACCCCTAGCGATCCCCTCAGATTAAAGTCGTATCCGTCACCTGGGAGTTGGCCTTCAGCCGCTCCATAAGTCCTTCCGCGGGTTTGGAGTGCCATCTGCACTCGCTACTTATCGTCCGGTGAAGCTGTAAAGGCTAGCTGCGGACATCAACATTAGACAAGTCCGAAAAAAAAATTTTTTTTAACACGTTGAAGACCGCATTGAAAAATCTTATTTCTCACACAGAACCAGCATTTTTTAATTGTTAATTACGTATATTATTTTTTAAATATGTTTTTAGTGTACAATAATTTGAGATAAAATTTATTTAACTTCTAGATTTATTTCAATTGCCCACGGGTGATCCCGGTCCCAACGTGTAAATTTACTTTTGTTGCGGAGTAACCCACCGGTGGGCATGCGGTTTTTAAAGTGTTAAATAATTATTGGACACTCCACGGATGAGACTATAGTGTCCGAGTCTAATAATTGACTCTTTCACAGATGAGAGGTTACTTGGTGTTTACATTAAAACAAAGGGTTAGATATTAGAGCTGTGCATATATAATATATAATTTTGTATACTAATATATTGTATACTATAAAAAAATATATGTAATAGCCAATAATTTATATGAAGCATAAATCACGAATTGAAATTATTATTTCGAATCGTCTTTGCCGGTCAAAGATTATATGGTTTAATAGAGATTTAGGCGATAGATGCATAAAAAGAAAGTGTACAAATTTGTCTATGGATGTAATTGATTTAAGTGTCTAAAATAAACCTAAAAGTTCAACCCTAGTTACCGTTAACTGTAGTTTTTTAAACGGCATCAATTAAGCACAATAAATAAGTTTGTTAGTCAACGATAAATGAAGTTAAAGTTCATAAACATTTTAATATTTTAAATTAAAATTAAGTTATACGGAATTATATAATACTAGCTACTCGCCCCGGCTTCGCCTGGGTGTACATGTATTATATATATAAACCTTTCTCTTGAATCACTCTATCTATTGAAAAAAAAACGCTTCGAAATCCGTTGCGTAGTTTTAAAGATTTAAGCATACATAGGGACGGACAGACAGCGACATCGACTTTGTTTTATACTATGTAATGATTAGCGAAATGAGTCAATAGAAATAACTTCAAATTACGAATTAATGAACTAGATCTAGTTTTATCAATAAATTGAATATTTTGAGACCTCGAATAAGCTATTGTGTTCTTGTAATGTTTTTTTTAACTATACTGAAGCTCTCTTTCTAACTCTTTGTTTGGAATTAGTTTTCAAATTCCTTGTCCACTACTAACTTTGTTATTTCTATGTCGGCAACACTGTCTCACTGTGTAACGTATGGCAAAATAATTTATTAAAGCTGTACGGACGCAAACGTGTGGTTTGACCTCAGCAAATATTGTATGTTTTTGTTTTTTATTGTATCATGGATATATATACATACGTATGTGGTGCAAGCCTGTGTTTCGTAATATGTATAAATTAGTTATAAAGAACTATAGAAACGTCTCGAAAATAAATAATTTTTATACATTTTAATATATATTAAATACTTTACACATATTTACTAACATCCATGTTATTTGTACACATTCTCTTGACAGAAAAAGACTAGTTCAGTTGCATAAGAGATAACAATATATATTGAAGTTCGCGGGTTCAATTCCTCGCACGGTATAAACATTTGTATTCATGAATATAATTGTTTGTATTGGTCTGGGTGTTTTCTATGTATAACAAAAAAATATTTATGTCAGTTGTCTATCTGCTTACCTTGGGACTAGATGGCGCTGTGCGAATTGTCCTGAGATATTATTATTCACATCCGATAGATAGATAGATAATCATTTTTATTTGTATCTTAGTTGTCTTATCATCGGCCACACGTTTGCGTTCATAACATGCGAAATATTGATTAAGTTAGTTTTAAGCATATCTTCTAATACGGTGCTTATTGTAATAATTGATAATAAGGCATTACGCTTTTAAAATGCTGGCTCAATGCGTTGATTAACTTCTTTTAGTATTATATTAATTAAAATAAAAACTTTTGAGGGTACCTTTATACCGTACCTGCCCAGGAAGATTCTAATTTCTTCCCTCACAATAAGATTGAAAATAATTTCAACAGGAGAAAACTAAATATGTTGAGGGTACCATTTGCAGCGCCTGTTAAAAAATACTACACTTTTTTCCCTCGCCATAAGGTTAAAAATCTTTTGTCAACTAAAGTCAGAAGGAACGAAAGATATAAAATCAATTAAGCTGCTTTCGTAAAGTTTTTGTACTTCTAAAAGTAATAAATAATAATGTAGATGTATCGCATGTTTTGATGAAACACTGAAAATTACTGTTATATACGACAGCCAATAAAAATAATTTTAGCGTTTGCAATTTTACGATCATTGACTAAACTTGTGCCTTTTATGTCATGAAATATAAGATTTTTATAAGCCCTACATGTACAAACAAACAAAATTCCCAATTTTTGTATCTCTATTTACCTTTGTAATATTAGTGTGAATTGTGCCAAATATGATGTAATAAGTTAATAAACATGGTCAACTATTGTACCCCCCACTTCCTCAACCCCCAATCTTGGACCATTTAATTAATCTAGTTAAGATCTATATTCTTACTTCGGACCGTTGCCGGGTTTATGTTCGTCCGAGCAGTGGCGTAACAATGTGGCAGATCGGGCAAAATGCCACGGGTCCCCGGGGACCCGTTCGAGACGCTGCGAGCACAGGAATGTAATGTTTATTACTTACATAATTTACTAACATTTAACGTATTTAATCTACAAGATGAAGCTTTTTTAGATGAAAGGGTCACGGAGGTCCCTATCCGATGAATTTGCCACGGATCTTTAATGGCATAGTTACGTCTCTGCCCGCAATTGTGTAGCTGACGTTTATCGTTTCAGGAATAGAATCTATTCTTATAATAGTTCGAGAACAAACACAAGGTTCAGTAAATAAAATATACTCTTGAAACTGTAAACGTAAGCTATGTGCCACAGCATTATAATAGTTCAGAAAATATAAGAATTTGTCAATTTATAATTGAACATTTTTCAAATCCGACTGGAAGTTCAGATGAAAAGTGCACAAACAAATCCTTCAGATTTATATTATATAGATGCTAAGGCTACCAACTTGTAATATATAGTAGAAACTGGATATAACGACGCAGTTTACGGCCGATCGATTATTAAACAAAATGCCAGGGACTGAATTAATATAATAATTAAATTATATTGTGTATAATGATGTAGTGCTGAAGTAGCGCCCATATATTTCAGTCCATATTTCACACGCCTTTCCGATAGATTCCCTACTCCATTCAAGTCACCTTAGGACTAAAGTCGTATCCGTCAGGCGGGAGTCGCCATTCAGTCGTTCCATAAGTCCTTCCGCGGATTGGAATGCGATCTGCACTCGGTCCCTATCGTCCGGTGAACAGGCCAACTCTGAGCAACAGCAGTAGAGTTTGAAAATGTTATATCAATTTTCTACTGCATACGAAGCCAGAAGTTTTTATATATAAGGCCCAATGATATATAAATGATCAATATAACTGTTTTATCAATGTGTGATACGATCTAAATAAACCTTTTGTAACTTCATTAACATAAATGTAAATCTATGCCCGCAAATTTTTTGTCTATGGACAGTATTGTAAACACGTGGATGTATGTCTCCTAAGAACAAGAAATAACGTAGAAACGTCAGTAAAATATCAATATTTTATTATAATAATAAATTAACAGAAATGTTGTCTGCTTACCGTCTCACCTATATCAGCCGCCAAGCAGCTTGCTTTGTAAGCTGTTTTGGTTGTAAAGTGCAGATAGATATAGATAGGCAGCGGCCTTACAGGATAAGAGCTCTGGAATGCCAACGCATGAGTAGTATCACGGGTGTCACATGATAACGTGATGTCCGTAGTGCTTCATGTATATCGACCGTTACCACTTTCCATAAATACTTTTTTTTAATGTGTATTAATTCTTGTTCTTATGTGAACACGTCAATGAGATGGATATCTCGCTCTTAGTCAATTCATCGTGGTTCTTCTTGACAGCTAGTCATGTCATTCAGGAAACTGACAATATTTGACAGTGTACTGTCACGTTGACAGCGAGTATTATAGTTTTAAAGTATTATTATTGTGACGATTATTTCAATTTTTTTTTTTTGCTAATTATAAGATGGCGTAATTTTAGATGTTCTAATTTTAAGACCATGACAAGGCAATGTATGGATTTTTATGTGTATGTCAGTGCTTGTTTTAATTTTGAAAGTTTCGTGTAAAGTATTTTCTTTGTATGTGATGCTTTTATTGATTTTTTTATAGGCTTTTAACCGTATTATGTAAATGCAAGCGATTAGCGTTAAAATGTACTTATTGTAAACTTGCATGAAACGACGTGGCTTAGTGGTATGCTACCTAAACTTAAAGGTCGGGAGTTCGAATGACCAAAAATCAACACTCTGCTCATGGGAACACTGTTAATAAAGAAAATGTCAGCTGTAGATATACCCTCTGCCACGTCGGATTCAAATATAGGGCATATCAAGTGTTACATCAACAATTGAACGCCTCTGACTACCTCCTCCGGGATTATAGTCGTGCTGGCTTTATTATACAACATTAATGAATATGAAATGTTATATATCACGTTGAATATTTGTAACGGTGTTGTTAATCACCTTTTGAGATGCTTATATATTTAATAAACGTAAAATATGAAGGGGCTTCCAAATGTTACATGTATTTAACTAACAAGAATTATACGTTGGTATATTGCTCTACGATTCATTTGATATAACCCACTAATTTCTTTAGAACCAATCAGATTCGAGGCGTGATATCATAATAATACCCCTGGACAATACACACAACGCCATCTAGTTCCACGGTATGCAGAGCTTGTGTTATGCGTACTAAGGGATGGCACTGTGCGAATTGTGCTCAGATGTTTTTTTTAAATAGGTTTTTCACAAAAATTGTATTGTCCCCGGGGCTCTAGTCCTAGGGGCCCGCTATATCCAGAACTGATCAGATAATAATAATAGTAAATAATACAGATAATCAAAAATATATTAACTTAACCAAAATTAAGAATTGTGAGGTTATACAAAATGAATCATAATAAAAGCGATATATACATTACATAGCCCTCAGATACGCTCGCTAAGGCCGATATTCATATGTATATGTGCTACTGAATATAATACGCGAGTATCTAAAACTAAAAGAAAATAGTAAAATAAAACGCACAAACAAACTCGTGTGATAAAACTAATACCTTATATACACTGGTGCTAATATTTATATCACTGTGAGGATAGAGTTGACAGTCGGAAATTGAAGATGTTTTTTTTGTTTGGATTTTACTATTTAAGGGAAAGGCAAAAGATAAATATGTTTGTTAATATATCTACACTTCAAGAAATAGAAATAATCTTTATTCAAATTCATTACAAGCACTTTTGAATAGTCATATTTTGATTCTACCACTCATTCGGAATGCATAATTCATCACAAGAAGAATGAGCAAGAAACTTGTGTGTTGCTCTTTTTAATAGATGTTTTTTTTATATAAATAATTACTGTAATTATATCAAGTAAGAGGCATGCGAGAATTAACATAGAAATCGCTACGCACTCATTATTAGTGTAATCAGATAATATTGTCAGTGCTATAGATTTAATTTTTTTCTATAAGCGTCACAAGTCTACAAGCGTCTAAGGTTTTGAAATGTGTGTTTTCTGGTGTCTGATATAATCTTCATTCTGTTATATTCTTTTGCCGCGTAAAAGTATTGTATATTTTGTCTATGGTCTAGAAACAGTTTTTATTATAATATTAGCGACTTTAATCTTCTAGTACTAGAAATAGAAATAATATGTATTTAAATAAACTTAATAAAAGCATTTTTAAATAGTCATATTGGATTCTACCACTCATTCGGAACTCATTACAAGAAGAACGAGCAAGTAACTTGCATATTGCTCTCAATTTTAATTTATCATAAGGTCCATTTCCGCCTGTCAGCTTCTGGTCCGGTCTTCTCTGTACACTGATGGTGCCAAAAATAATGTTTTGTAATGCTAATCTAACACGTATAGTGTACCGATATGTATTGTCTTAATTATATGTTAAGTGCCTTGTTGTGTTTAAATACTCAAATCAAATGTTGCAATTATGAAAGTTGAGCAGAAATATATGTCTATTTTACTATTTTCATTGGTAGTTTTATTTGGATTATGTAACTAGTTGGTTGTTTACCTCTCTCAAAATTTCGACTAGGTAATTCTAGCCGTGGTCACGCAATAAAATAAAAATAATTAATTTCATATTGTAATAAACAAACTCAATACATTATTGTATTGAGTTTATTTATTTAAATATGAAATGAATTATTTTTAAATTGACTTTTGAATAGTTATATTTTTTTAATTTACTACTCATAACGCAGACTCGATCACAAAAAGAACGAGCATGAAATAAATAAGTATAGAAATAATAATACATAGTAACAAGTAAGAAACATCGATAATCAACATAGAAACCCCTACGCACTTAGTGCAATCAGATAATATTGTTAGTGCTATGAATATTGTCTTTTCTACAAAAACAATGTTATCATTTACAAACTCTCCAATTTTATAAGCTTTTTACAAAGGAAGTATTTTAAAGTACCGATCGAGCAGTACTCACCGTAAAGACTCACTGTGCGATTTTTCGTCGTACAATCTAATGACGGTAGTTCAACAAACTGCCGGCACCTATCGATATTGATATTTGCTGTTACTCCAGTCAGCTTGTGACCACGATGTGCAACCTTTTCGAAACGTCGAGATTACTAATGTCGTGTTAAAACCTGTTTACCTATATTAATGATGTGAAACGATAAAGTTTAAAAATAAGTACCAGTTGGTTGGTCTTAACAATGGTATTGTTATACCGTGTAGTAGTAGTAGCCACTCTATCATGAGGAGTTAAATATCCTTCAATTCTTGTCCCTGACGAGTCTAGGTAGCAAACTCTAAAAAAGAGCAAGCACAGTAGACCTCTGTAGGTCACAGTGCTACATGTCTAAAGCACTAAGTAATCCCTACCGACTTGTATTTTAAGAGTATTTTTTTGGATGACGCAATCACTAATTAAAACAAAGTTATTAATGTGCAGGTAAAAACGACTACAGATAAAAGTCCTTCCTCTAATCATACTGATAATAAGTAACGTCTTAAGTTCAAATTAAAACTCATTAATTAAATAAATAAACTATTTATTTATCAACTTCAAACGCCTGGTCGAATTGTTCTTTCGTAATTTTTCTCTTTTTCAATTTCTTAATCAAGGCTACATCAGCCGCCAGCTCGTCTAATTCTTCTTGAGTGACCGCTTTCCTCTTCTTACCTTTCTTCCCTTCTGCACTCTCCTTCTGTTTCAGTTCTTTCCTCTTTTTTCTGCGCTGTTTCTTGTCCTCTTTGTTCTGTTTTGCTTGTTCCCAGGGTTGTGTTTTTACCTGAAATATGGAGATAAAATTAAATATACTAATGGTTCATGGGGCAACCATTAGTCGATATTTTATCATTTCTTTTAGATAATTTAATTTTAGTTGTGGCACATACATGGCACTGTGTGTAATTTTTTTTATTAGCTCAATGTATATTTTAAGTGCTGTAAAAAAAACTAGCTGTGTCTGATTCTGATGCATAATAAGCTATATGATTTTAAAGTTCATAAAAATCTATTCAGCAGTTTTTGCGTGAATTAGTAACAAACATGCATCCATCCACACTAACAAACTTCCGTGTTTATAATCTTAGTAAGATATTAGCTTTTTTTATAATAATATAATATAAGAGTATATTGCTATATTTGTGTTTTGTTCCTCTAGTCGACTTATTGTTGATGAAAAGTCTGGCATCCATAGCCTATATACATATTAGAGGTAGAATGAGTGTCATGTCTTATTTTAAGTCTACTTAAGCCATGTCATGACTACTCAAGACACTCTACTATGTCACAACTACTTTATTATACATACCATCTTTTTCTTCTTCTTCGATGGCCACACACCAGTCTTCTTATACTCTTGCAACTTCTGTAGCCTGCTCATTTCCTTCTGTTTATCTTTGTATGCTATACTATTATAATCTATCTCTTCTGCCGGTCCCACAAACTGATCCTTATGTTCCTGCTTTATCTCCGGCATTACGGGCAGCTTGAGAAGTCCATAGCTGGTCGCTATATGCCCGAGGGGGAGTTCCTTGAGCTGCAGCAGGAGATTACACTCGTGCTTCGAGTACGCCCGCATGTGAGATACGAAGGCTCGTTGACCTTTGTCAAATATGGCACGATCTCTCTTTTGTTGCTCGTGGAGAAGTTTCAACACCTGGTTCATATATTTTCAGGAATTAATAAAAGTAATAATACCTTTATTCCAGTATATCTATACATAGTACATTACTTTTTGTTTAGTTCAGGTAACTAATTACAAACATGAAGGATTGGGTAAGAAATTAATAATCATAATAATTACCCTGGGCAATTCACACAGCGCCATCTAGTCACAAACTAAGCAGACAAAATATAAATGAGATACTGCACTGCTAATGGTGTCCTTATACCACAGATAACATAATATTACATACTTATACTAAAGTCTATCGACCATAAGTTGACTTTTAGCCGTTTCTTACATCCTGTGCCTTTATTTTCATCCAGAGAAGATGTAATGGCCAGCATTAGAACAAAAAACTAGTTGTCAGGTATTAGTAACTGTAATATTACACTAATAGTTTTTCATTATACTCACCTTTAGTCTCAACTTATCGCTGATCTTGATCTCATCCTTGGACTGCCTCCAGTCCTTGAGGTGGACCATCTGGTTGGTCCTGATGAAGGGCACGTAGGTGTCCTCGGTGGGCAGTAGCGGCAGCAGTGAGCACCCGGGGGCTCCGGCGCGGGCCGCGCGACCGGCGCGGTGCACCAGCGCCGCGGGGCTCGTCGGCGGCTCCCATTGCAGTACCCATTCTACTTCCGGGATGTCCAGGCCCCTAGTTTTTTTTTAGTTCTTTATTGCACTAGAAGATGTGTACCCAAAGGGGAACTTTTCCCTACCAGTTTACCTTTAGGTAAATATAGAAGTTAAAAATAAGTAAAACCACTTACCCACCTTGCCAACAAATCTGTGCACAACAATATAGTGTTGTCAGCTTCACGGAACTTCTCCAACACCTTGCTCCTCTTCTGCTTCATCTTCCCATGTATCGCAAACACTTGGATATCAGGCAAGAACACTGGTAGCACATCTGCCCAATAATCTACACACGCACAAGTCGGCAGAAAGAAGATACCTTTCACGAGTTTTCTGTTCCTTATAAAATTCAATAGGAATAAAAACTTGTCTTGTGGTTCCACTATTACATAATAGTTTTCCAAGAGAACTGGCGTACTTATAGTCGACTTCTCTTTGACACTAACAACGACTGGGTTCCTGAGGCCTGCTCGGACTAGATCTTGTAGTTCTTTGGTCTGAGTGGCAGAGAATAGGCCGGTGCGCCGCTGCCGTGGTAGATACTGCAGGATTGTAGTGAGGGTCGCGCTGAAGCCGAGGTCGAGGAGGCGGTCGGCTTCATCCAAAACTAGGAATTCCTGATGAAGTTACAAACATTTGTATACGTGAGTATGGTTGTTGGTTGTGGTCTGGATGTTTTCTACGTAAATTAGCTTTTATCAGATTTTTGTACTATGTTTGTATTTACAATAAATATGTATCTAAATATATCTAGTACTAATAACACAAGCTCTGTTTATCTTGAGTCTAGATGGGGACTGAATTTTCGAAGGATATTATTATTACATCTTGTGGAGTTCATATAGTATCAACCAAATAAACTGCATAGTGGGGAAATTATGTGGAAAAACATCACTGACTTTATGCAAAGCAACATACCAATTCTCTCAGTCGTCCTGGCAAATTTAGTTGCTTCCTCTCTGCTAACAGGTCACCAAGCCTCCCTGGTGTACACACTGCTATGTGACCTCCTCTCTGGAGACTCTCGACATCAGCATCCACAGACCTGCCGCCCACCAACAGTGCGAGTGTTACATGACTCAATTCTGGTTGCTGGAGGAACTGTTCAATTACCTGAATAGAATATTTTAATAAATAAGAGAAGAGAAGATGATGTGATATATTTTATATGACTATATTTTTTTTTACATCTACATAGTGTAGTTGGCAAACAAGCATATGGACTATCTGATGGTAAATGGTGTATGGTATGGTATCACCATACACGGATGCCTGAAACACCATGGGTGTTACATGCACATGGCCAATCTATACATATAAATAAAATTGGAGTGTCTGTTTGTAATATTGAAATAACCAGTTTTTACTACATGGATATGAATATAAATACAGTACATACACCAAAATAATTATTTTTACAAATTTTGTCTATCTGTCTGTTTGTTCCAGCTAATCTCTGAAATGGCTCGACCGATTTTAACGGGAGTTTTTTTTGGCAGGTAGCTGAGTAATAAGGAGTAACTTGGCTACTTTTATTTTAGAAAATAAGTTAAATTCCATGCAGATGAAGTTACAGAGTACAGCAACAGAGTGAAGAGTACAGCTAGTAGTAAATAAATTTATCATCTACCTGATGGTAAGAGGGGATTGTTAGTAATGTGAACTGATGGTCTTATTGCTAGCAATGGACCATGTCAGGTTGACTTCCACCTGGTTTCCCTGGAAACCATTGTGATAAATTCTTGGTGAATTGTCACGATAACAACTAATATGACATCATGCTCATCTCAGCATCCTCCACTGGTGTTCCACTAGCGTAAATAGTTAGCGCAGGCAGGTGCCCATTCCATTATCATCCATAAAAATACCCTCTATTATATATTAAAATAGCACAACCAACATTGCATACATTACATGATACCTACTGCAAGGGAATGGCAATGAGACGTATCATATGATCATGTGATATTCTTACTTACTGTCCATGTATATTGGCTAAGTAATTACTTACCATCCGTACTGAATCTAAATAGGCAAAAACCAATGGGACCTAAAGAAACCTAGGGATAATAACACTGTCCCTTAAACAAACACCTGTACACAATTGGTGCTACAAACAGTCCCCTTTGTCAGGGCTGCTTTGAAGCCAAAGAAACAGCCGCTCACTTAACCCTGGAGTGTGTAGCAGTGGCCACACAATGAACACAAATCCTTGGAACGGTGAAGTCGCGCTATGAAGACACAACGAGACTTTTGCGCTTTTGAGAGCTTGTTTGGCTACTTTAGCAGTATCAGCTATACACATACAATGGCCCAGATGAGAGGTTGATTGTGGAAAATGGAGTCTAATTTACATTTATTGCTTGTTTGTCACTGCAGTTATATAAAAAAAAAAGGTCGCTTACAATAAGGGCGAACTGATCTAACCTTATATATCTGTGTAGCCAACTCCCTCGTTGGAGATATTATTACAGCATAAACAAAATCTTTCCTGAGCGGGCCGTCTCTTGATTTCTTCAGCAACATCTCCAACATTGGCACAACAAACGCCAGCGTTTTTCCTGAGCCAGTGACCGCTTCAGCAGCGACATCCTTGCAGGATAATACGAGAGGAATTACAGCCGCCTGGATGGGAGTCATCGCTTTGAATCCTTGTTCATTTATGCAGTTTAGTACCGGCTGTGACAATGCTGGTGTAACCCGTGACCATTCTTTGTTAACCATTTTTGAGTCCTCAAATTATCACATATCATTAAAGCTGAATTAAATAACTTTTTGAATTATAGTGTGTACAAAATATTCCGAATTTCGGAACACGAGGACATGACATTGACATTTACACATAATTTGACAAATGTCAATGTACTTGCTAGCTGTCATATTTTACACTCTGCCGTAGATAAAGAATCAAGTTTCAAATTTTTATTATTTACATTGCATGTACACAATTTATATTATAGTTATATAGTCAGTTTATTGCTTTCACATTATATTTGTTATAGAGATTACCTTTGATATCAATTGAATTAATAAACTCATTCATTGGCAAATGTACTTTCTTCCAAGCCAAAATATAAAAAAAACTTGTCCGTATCCAGAACCTTACATCACTTAAAAAAGTAAGTGTTAAAAAACAATCAATATGGCGCAGCATGTTGTTTTAAATTGACAGCTGTGTTTTCTTTCACAGACGTGATTACTTGTAATGTTTATATTGTATTGTGAGACGAACGCGAGTGAACTTAATATTTAACAATTAATAACAATGACTCGACCGTTTGGTAATAGTGATAAACGTTTTTCAATTGACGATGCATTCGAAGAAGAAACCGATGAAGCTATAAAAGTGTATGGTGCCACGGGCGATAGATCTCCTATGCAGAATAAACTCAAGAATGGAGTCGATTATTTGTCAAGGTAATTCTTATTGGATTTGTACAGGTGTATGTATATATAGTTTTGTGTGAAAGTTGTTCCTTTGTTCGATCGTGAACGTATTCTTGACCTTTGGGTGAGTCAAGTGGCCACTCAGTAGAGTCAGTAGGCTAAAGGCGATTGAACTCCCCTATGTTAGTGTACGACACGGTCAGCAATAATGTTAATAACCCCCTAAATAAGCATGTACATTAAGTAAGGAACTGTTTCATTTTCATCTAACTTGTTCAACATGTTCACAATAATTTATCAATAATTCATAATTATGTCTAAACATGTTTTTGCTAATATTTATTTATGAACAGACTTACCTTGACTTTTTCAGTACAAACTACCATCACCTACTACACACATAACTAGAATTTTATAAATAAAATTATATCAATTCAGCTGTTTATCAAAAGAATGAGAAAATGTCAAACAGATCAGCCACTTTTACATTCATAGCATTCTAATCTAGTAATATTAATATCGATGGAAAAAATGTCAAACACACAGCCACTTCTACATTCATAATATATTAATCTAATATTAATATTGGTGGACTTTCCATCTATTATATATATAAAATAAATAACTGACACCTGAAGACATCCTGGATAAATTCCTATACTATACATCATTATCTGCTGCTTCCTTATCCCATTTACTTGGGGTCGGCATAATATATTTAATTCAGATTTTATACTGTTATTTTCATTCCTATACTATAGATATTAGGTAAAACATAAGTAAACATAATAAATCCTCAACATATACACAACATACTCTAGTCCTAAACTGAGGACAGTTTATACTAAACATATTTAAATATATGTTTTATTTCATAATACATAATATCTTTTGAAAAATTAAAGTATCATTAATAATCATTATTATACACACTTAGCATACAACTGTTTCTGTAATATGGTATTCAAATTTACAAATATTGGAAAGTAAGATGGTATACTGATGGATCACCTAAGAAATTAATGTTGTACAGATTTTTTTTTTCCCTTTTCTCTTTCCATCTGCTATCAGCCTTATGGCTATAATCAGATATATTGTATTTTTTTTTGGCATATGTCGTACATTGACTTGAATCCCTTTTATTTTACACTAGCTGCACCCGCGACTTCGTCCGCATGAAATTTAACTTTATTTTTCTAAAATTAAAGTAGCCTAAGTTACTCCTTATTATATCAGCTACCTGCCAATAAAAGTTCCGTCCAAATCTGTCCAGCCATTTCAGAGATTAGCCGGAACAAACAGACCGACAGACAGACAGATAAAACTTGTAAAATATGTTATTTTGGTGAATGTACCATATTTATATTCATATGCATGTAGTAAAAAACGGTTATTTCAATGTTATAAACAGACACTCCAATTTTATTATATAAGTAGGTACTTATATTTTTTTGCCAGACATTCCCTCTTCAAGGGGAATATATCATCCCTGATATCTAGAAGCTTTAGGGCTAATTTGTTCGCATGGTATTCAAGTCTGTGGTTGGACATCTCACACAGTCGACTGATTTCAATTATTGTACAGAAATAAAAATATTTAGTGTAATTTCTCTAATACCAACTCCTCCCATCTGTCAGCGGCTAGTCACATAGTTTTTTTTTTAAGAATGATAATGTAATGGTGCACCCGTCTGCGCTAACGGTTTACGCTGGCGGGGCACTAGTGGAGGATGATAGGATGAACATGAGGTCAGATCGGTTAGCCTAACGTGACAAATTCACCGGAAATGTATCACGATGGTTTCCAGGGGGAACCGCGTGGAGGTCGATCTGACATGGTACATTGATAGTAATGGGGTCATGATTCCACATCACTAACAATCCCGTTCCCCCATATAAGTTATGTTGTGGTAAGCGACCATTATGTAGACCATCAGTTTGTTTCCCATACTGTATACATTATTTTTTATTGTTGTGTTTGGGTTATGGCCAGACTATCGACCTGTAGCACTGTAACCTACATAGTTCTATTGTTCTCATCCTTTTACTGTATACATAAAAACTACAGTTTTAAATGAAACATGTGAACAGAGTTGTTCAAAGACCTATGTTGCTAACTGTACCATTTATGAGGCTAATTGCTGTTAATGCTTACTAATAAAACTTGTACTATAGACTTTAATTAGTATTTGCATACATTTGTAACAGTACCATAAACCAACTATATCAGTGTTGTCCAAATGGAGCAATTTAAGTATTCTTTTAAAGGGTGATAATAGAACGGGCACCCACCGGTTTACGCTGGCTGGACACCAATAAAGGATTATAAGATGAGCATGAGGTCAGGTCAGTTAGCCCATCATGATAAATTCACTGGGAATTTATCATGAATAATTTTTTTGGGGAATCCGCATGGAGGTCCTGACATGGTATATTCTTAGAAATGAGGTTATTGGTGCACATTACTAACAATCCCCTCCCCCCAATTTTAGTGAAGGGCCGGAGGAAGGCAAAAGGTAAATCTTAAATAGACTCAACAGGAGTTTTACTGTTTCATCATGTAAATGCAGTGCTAGATATCAGTGCGAAATTCAACAAAAAAACCAATTCATAAATAATTGTTTTATCACTAAATTATAATAATAAATTAATATACAAAAATCTTTATTAAAAATTTATTATTTGGATATTGAATTTCAGTTTATAATTATTATATGTTATGAAAATTTAATCACTGTATTTTGTTAACATATTTTTAAGTGATTTATTTTTTAATATTATATATTAATTTCTTATTTTACATATGGTTACATAGGGGGGCATAAGAATTTTAGAAAGTCTAAGGTGGGGCATGCCAATAAAAAGGTTGGGAAGCACTGAATTAGATCATTCATGACTATGTAGATACAGTTATAAACTTCAGTTACAGTCAAATTATGATTGTTTGGTATAACAATGTAGATTATGTGTTAACTAAAATGATAATTTATTACACAAGATTGTAGGTATAAGATATCAAATAATGACTTGTATAGTTAAGGTACTAGACATTTTTCTGTACATCCTTTTCTAAATAGATCATGTATGGCGAAAGTTTGTGAGTATGGATGGATGTTTGTTACTCTTACACGCAAAAACTATAGAACGGATTTTGAATAAATGTTACAATAATATAGCTTATACATCAGAATAACATATCCTTACTTAATATTATAAATGCGAAAGTAACTCTGTCTGTCTCGCTTTCACGCCGAAACCATTGAACCGATTTAAATGAAATTTGGTACACAGATAGTCTAGACCCTGACAAAGGACATAGGCTACTTGTTAATGCGAAAAAAGGGTTGCAAGGGGTTGAAAGGTTATATGGAAGTATCGTCATTTTACGCGGACGAAGGAGCTGGCGCAGCTAGTAGGCTATAATTTAAAAAGATATTATGGAACTTGGGCGAAATGTAATGAGAAATATCAAGTGTGATGCAGATGAAGTTTCGCGGGTCAGAAAGAACAAAATTTGATAAATCCTGAGCACAGTATCATGGAGTCTCAATTAAAATTAATATCTGTATAAATATATATAAAATATTATAATGTAAATACGCTTGTGTGGGACTGTGTAGGGCGCCGAGGTCGGTGCAGCCAACGATGGTGGTAATTAAAGGCGCGGTATGAGTGTACAATAGTATATTATGAAAATATATGTCAGTCTAGAGCAATAATATGAATAACAAAACCATAGCAATCAAATATTCATATAGAACTATAAATATTTAAAAATAAGGAATGTCTAGCGGTCCAGCGGCCTGAATGTAAGAAGTCCTGTACAATTTTTTCAAAATACAATTTTTTTTTTATTTCAAAATGTTTTTATTTATGTAGGTCTATTACAGATTCTTATGAGATGTCAAATCTACCGTCAGTTCGGAATGATTTATCAACAAAAATTATATCATATTTAAATATATAAAAGCTTCTGCTGGGCTCAGAATCTTGATTATCAAAAAATCTGTTACTTCATAATAGATCATCAGTTATTATGCTGGTTGGACTGGGTTGGTTATCATGACTCTACATCAATCTTAGGAGTAGAAACCAACCCAGGAAGATTTTATACAAATACATCTGCATGGATACTTCTGTCTTACCTCATTACTGCAGCCAAGTTTTGTTACTGTAAAAAGGTGCAATAAAACAGTGAAATTAAAGGGTTGGTTAATGCTACGAAATGGCAATGCAGGAGTACCACATGCGTTGGCCATTGGGCCGCTGTCTTACCTCATTACTGCAGCCGAGTTTTGTTTCTGTAAAAGGTGCAATAAAACAGTGAAATTACAGGGTTTGTTTTTCTTACGGAATGGCAACGCAGGAGTACCACATGCGTTGGCCATTCAAACAAGCATACAGCCCATGATAGTAAACGGTTACTCTAGCTTATGGACGCCTGAAACACCAAGAGTAACACGTGCGCGTTGTTGACCCTTAAGAAACCTTAATGTACCCTCTTGAAAAACCATCTCATGATGACGTAATGCCCTTGTTGCTGTAAATTAGGCGACAGTTAAAACCTTACCATAAGCTTTTTGTCATTTCAATTACATATTTCTTATCCATATGGATCGTATTCCATTAGTTTGCTCATGTGTATATTTTGTTTCAGCAAAACCTACAAATGCTCCGAAGACACAACCTCACGCGACTCAGACTCACTGATACACGAGTATGTGGAGTCCACACAGTCCATGTACTGCTGGAACCATCCCAAAGTGCGGGAGAATTGGAAAACAGTCTGCGCTGCTGTCGTACTCCTTCTAGTCGGAGTAGCTCTCCTTGGGATGGGCGCGTATGCTGTAGCCGAACCTGAGAACGGCCTGCAGGGTGCGGTATTCTTCGTAGCAGGCTTGATATGCTTCGTGCCTGGTGCGTACCACGTGGTATATATCTGGCTAGCGGCGAGAGGACAGAGGGGATACGATTTCTACCACCTCCCGCTCTTCACTTGATTCAACAGCATTTTTATAGTCAATTGAAATTTAAACTAAACGGAAATGGAGTGCAATATTGTACGATGGTGTTGCCAGGATAGCTCTCTAAATATGTTAAGGCGTGTTCAGACATGACTAGTAATGTAACATGTGAACAAACCTTGTTTGTGTAAAATCATGCAACACTAAGAGTGTTATATTTTAAAGCGAACTTCTAAATATTAAATTAATCTTGCAAAAAGAATAGCTAGAATAAGAGTAAGAGCTCTAGATGTATTTATCTCTTTCTTTATAGAAACTAAAAAAATTGTTATTATTTAAAATGGTTCGAAGTCTTAAAGAAAGCAGTGGAAAGAAACAGGGCAAAATATTTCAATACATAAAATAGATTTAATATACAATTTAATACAATATATAGATATACTAAATCTATTTTATTTATTGTGTTTTAATAAAAAAGGAGGTCAGTTTAATAGAATAATTGAAGTATAAATTGTCGCATTAATTCGAGCGGCTAATGAATTCTTAAACGATTCTTACAATACTCGATGTTCGTAAGAAACAATAATTACAGGATCAAGTATAGAACGAGTATTCGCTTATTTGCCTTATCTGTACCTCGTGCATTTTTTTTAATGCCATTCTGCAAACCCAAACTACCCCTTATGTTCCATACTACAATACTGCACACGTCTGGACGCGGCTTTAGGTAACGTTTAGGGTATGTACGCACGGCGAATTTTCATAGCGCTGTAATTGCGCGGTAAATAATAAAAAGGCGCGTTTTACACAAGGTTGTAAAGTTAAAGAGGATTTGTAGAGTAAAATTGGCAACAACTGTAGAATTTTCAATATTTAGTAATTTAAACTTAATACTTATTTATCACTATCAAGCAACAGGCTGTATGGTCTGGAAATCTTTGCCTGCCTATGGTAAATAAAAAAAAAAACAATTTTCATGCAACAATATGTCATACAAATATGAAGAAGTTTATACGTAGACTAGGCTGTACGGTCTAAGGATCTTTGCCTGTTCTATCATTAAAAAGTAGATGGACGAATATGAAAAAAAAGCAACAATATGTCAGAACTGCTGCAGTGTTAGAAGGAGAGACTATTGAATAAATATATATACATAATGACAATAGAATTAATAGCGGAAATGTACAGAGAACAATAAAATAAAATAATTATGCAATACAATTTTCTCCGACCAAATTATCATTGAAAACAATGACAATTCTTGAATTAATTTTTCAGTCGAAATGTATTGTCAGGTACTTACTTTGAAAGTGGGTTACCTACAAATGTATACTGTTATGAATATTTTATAAATTCATGAGGAAATTTTGAAGTCAGTATAGAATAATATGAAATAAATTGTAAAACAAAAAATACTATAGTTTATTTTTGTTATTTATTTGAAATACAGTTGCAATATTGGTAGCTAAATTATTAAATTAATAATAACCTTAAAAATAAATATTGTTAATCGCTATAAGTAAATATTACTTAATTGTAACGAAACAAAATATCAATTATAAGAAAATTTACAAGATTTATAAAACTTTTAAAATTTCTTATTATGATTTTTTTTTAATACTATTATGGCTCTGAAATTTCCCGCGTAAAACAGGTGTTGCCAATCTTAATATGTTAGTGTGTAAAAAAATAAATGAATTACTTAATTATACCACTATTCTATACTAAGATTGCATGCATTATTTAAATTTAGTTGTTATTGTAACTAAAGCTAATGTAGTGTATATTTTGCAGTCACTTAATTTATAAAGATATATCGAATTGTTTGTGAACTCTGTCCAACTATTAGGTTTAACTGCTAGTTGTAAAGATCTCTTAGTTAAATGTAAATATTGATGAATTATAAAATTTATATATTATATATATAATACAGCGAAGGAACTGGTTATTTATAAAGTGGTTGACTTTTTACAAAATTTAATATGATCTTAATATTGTCCACGATGAAACAATAAATTTTTAATAACATAATAATATCTGTAAGGAACCATACAAAAATTATGTCACATGAACAGGGGTCATATCACGACAGAGTGTGACATTGTCACAACAAGAAATTGAAGATGGAATCGGAAAATTCGATTAAAAAATTATGAAATGTATGACCCTCTCACCTCTGGAAGGGGTGTTTTTTATTGATGATAATGTAATGGTGCACCCGCCTGCGCTAACGGTTTACACTGGCGGGGCACCAGTGGAGGATGATAAGATGAACATGAAGTCAGGTCAGTTAGCTCATCGTGATCATCAGTCCACGTTCCTAACAATCTCCTTTGCCCCCTGGCTGGGGTGTTTATCACATTCAAATTAAATTCGAATAATAAAATAGGAAATTTTAACTATTAGAATGTGATCAGCTGTGACAATGGGAAGGGGAGGGGGGGAATTTTTACTGGAATTAATGTGACATCATTTATGTATGGCCCCTAATAACAGACTATAAAAGTGCCTAGATGCATAGAAATAATGGATGAATTATAAAAAAAAAGTTACTATTTTAATGTTATTTATTTTGTGTATAATTACAGCATCATAAGTAAGTGTCCTTTGGTTCTGTTACTTAGAATAAAATTTTAAAAATACCTATATTTTTGTATCATTGTTCGTTAATCCTTTTTTGCAACATACATATGTGCCAAGGATGTTAGATAGCTCCGTAACCGTAACCGAATCCGAAATAAGTGTCGGATAATATCGGATAGGGGCGGATCCTAATTGAGACACGTTATGTAACCATTTTATTAGTTATTTGTATTTCACTTTTGAAATTCCTTAAAAAATAATATCCGAAACTAATGGATAATCCGAAATAATTTCAAATCCGCATCCGTATCCGATATAATAATCATTCCTATATCCAAAACCTATCCGTATCCGAAATATCATATCCATAACCTCCCTGATATATCCCTACACCGGATTATCCCTCCCATCCCATCCCATCAACAATCGGCAATCCTCTCATACCAACCATGTGCACTGTAGCATGATGCGGGACAGTTTCATTATAGTTTCGTTTCACTCAAAGTTGCCGCGATTTACGAATTATGACTTAGTATTTCAGCTGTACTATGTAATATTATATTATCTGTGGCTGTACATTCGTAATATATTAAATCATTAATTAACTGTATTAAACAACAACAACTCTCCAGATAACACATATAACTTCAGTATCTTGGATCTATGTTATCTGGAGGTGAGCATCGAATGTACGCGTCACTAATAAGTCACTACCAAATAAACTAACTAATCATTACATAGTACAAAACAAACCTTCCTCTTGAATCACTGTATCTATTAAAAAAAACGCTTCAACATCCGTTGCGTAGTTTTAAAGATTTAAACATACATAGGGACAGACGGACAGCAAACGCGACATTGTTTTGTCCGCTGAAAACCAGCGTCGTGGCACCCCGTCACGACATATGCTGAGCGGAGACCTAGTTGGTACTCTAATTATTAATATAAAATGCAAATTAAATTATAAAAATTATTTTCAGTGTACCAAATAAACAATTTTCTTTCTTTCTTTTCTTTCTTGTTTTATACTATGTAATGATGATGGAATGGTGCACCTGCCTGGTGCGAACGATTTACGCTGGCGGGGCACCAGTAATAATAACAATATATTTGTTTTTCTATATAATATAAAGTGCTGCAGAGCCTTTGAGGCATGTAACATTCCATGCTAAAGTACAGATTTGTGGAGAACTGGTGCCTGTACTAGGTATCTGAAGAACCTGTGTCACGTGTCACCAGGTCCCCCCACTAGATCTTACATGCTAAAATTTATATGTAGGTACATTTATAATACCAGTGGAGGATGATAAGATGAGCATGAGGACAGGTCATTAAACTGTAAATTCAAGGTGAATTTACCACGATGGTTTCCAGGGGAACCACGTGATGTCAACCTGAAATGGTACATTACTAGCAGTGGGTTATTAGTACACATTACTAACAATCCCCTTTCCCCTATAGGCGACGGTTAATATTCAAAAATCATTTATTCCTGTGAGACATTGTACCCGCTTATGAACGTCAAGTTTTCTACATTATAATTTTAGTTTTTTTCCCTACCGTCGCTAGCAATGAGTTATTAGTACACATTACTAACAATCCCCTTTCCCTTATAGGTGACGGTTAAAATTCAAAAATCATTTATTCCTGTAGGACATTGTACCCGCTTATAAATGTCAAGTTTTCTACATTATAATTTTAGTTTTTTTCCCTACCGTCGCTAGCAGTGAGTTATTAGTACACATTACTAACAATCCCCATTCCCTTCTAGGCGACGGTTAAAATTAAAAAATCATTTATTCCTGTAGGACATTGTAGCTTATGAACGTCAAGTTTTCTACATTATAATTTTAGTTTTTTTCCCTACCGTCCACCATCAGCTTGTATGCTATTACCATTAGGTACATAAAAAAGTACAGTGGTCACTCTTAAAAAACGTATTAAGCTGTGAATGATTAATTCATATTGCATTTACAAACCATAAGCGGTACGAGAAACAGACAACAAAAACTTTCACTGATCCATTTGCAATTAATTAGCATTTTATGTCGCGTATCTAATTACGTGAAATTCCGCCGTATTTAAAAAAAAAGTATATTCGCGTAAATCACAAATTCAAATTAAAAAATAATTTATTCATGTAGGACATTTTATGCACGTTATATTTTTTATAATATAATATTTCCCTATCGTGTAGTTTAGTATATAGATCCAATTGAGATGAACTGGCAAAAAATTCAACTGGTTTTTTTTAATCCACAACTAGCTATACCCGCGGCTTCGTACGCGTGGTTGTAAACTTTATTTTTCTAAAATAAAAGTAGCCTAAGTTACTCCTTATTACATCAGCTACCTGCCAATAAAAGTCCCGTCAAAATTGCTCTAGCCATTTCAGAGATTAGCCGGAACAAACAGATAGACAAAAATTGTAAAAAATGTTATTTTGGTGTATGTACCGTATTTATATTCATATGCATGTAGTAAAAAACAGTTATTTCAACATTACAAACAGACACTCCAATATTATTTATATGTTTAGTTTAGATGTATATTTATATAGGTGTCTATGTCTAACATTACATGAAAATCCCGTGTATGAACAACTTCGCTTGCTTAATAGTAGTACTTGTATTGTATGAACTAACATACTGAAAGTATGTCGAATGCATCTCCGTAACACAATGCAGACTTACTCAGGCATACAGAGCATGCGATTTCTCTAGAACATTTTTACTAATATTATAAATGCGAAAGTAACTCTGTCTGTCTGTAGCGCTTTATGAATAGAGATTTTTATAAAGCCTTCATAGCACTGCTATAGTGGATTTATTTAATTTTTTTATTAAGGCTTCGTAAGTTTTATGAATAAGACCGTAAAACTACTGAACCCATTTAAATTAAGTTTGTTACACAGATATTCTATACCATGGGAAAGGACATAGTCACTTTATTTACGAAAAAAGGGTTGTATGGGGTTGAAAGGGGAGATAATGGGTTATATGGAAGTATGGCCATTTTAAATAATTAAAAAAATGTTTAGAATTTTTCAAAGATTGTAAATATTTTACCCTTAAGGGGTAATATAACATAGAGGATAAAAGTTTGTATGGAAATCCGTTATACGCCGTCTATTCCACGCGGACGATGTCGCGGGCACAGCTAGTATTATTTCGACGACCTCGGTGGTCTAGCGGTCTAGCACACCGCTTTACGACCGATGGTCGCGGGTTCGATTCCTCGCACGGCACAAACATTTCTATTCATGAGTATGATTATTTGTATCGGTCTGGGTTTTTTCTATGTATAATATGTATGTATTTACAAAAAAAAATCTATGTATATATATCAGTTATCTAGTACCCATAACACAAGCTCTAGCTAGCTTAACTTGGGTCTAGATGGCGCTGTGTGAATTGTCCTGAGATTATTATTATTATTATTTATATTGAAGACGTAAATTTCGTCTGTGTTATCCGTTTTTGCAACATTTATCTTTGCAGCTCTGCTCCTATTAGTCATAGCGTGATGTTATATAGTATATGACACTCACAAATAACGTGGTTTTCTATTGGAAAAAGAACACTCAAAATCTTCAAAACCTTACAAAATTTACCTTTTTATAATATCTGTCACATTAAAATACTCATAATAAACAGTATCTACTGTATGTGATAGACGTGTGTAATTATTGTATGTAAAATGACTGAATGTACAAACGTAGACACAGTGGCATCAGAAATAAGAGTATATCTCAATATAAGAACAATATATCTAGTTGTAATACATTAAAATGGATTACATAGCTCGCAGTTGACCTTCAAGGCGGTGTGTGCCGCCCTTGGCCGTGCCGCGCCCTTATATATGGCTACGATATTGCAGATATTTGGTTATCTATACATATAAATAAAATTGGAGTGTCTGTTTGTAATATTGAAATAACCCTTTTTTACTATATACATATGAATATAAATACGGTACATACACCAAAATTTTTTTTTGCCAGTTTTTGTCTGTCTGTTTGTTCCGCCTAATCTCTGAAATGGCTGGACTGATTTTGACGAGACATTTTTTGGCAGGTAGCTGATGTAATAAGGAGTAACTTAGGCTACCTTTATTATAGGCTACATTTAGAAAAATAAAGTTAAATTCCACGCGAACGTAGTCGCGGGTACAGCTAGTGTTATATACGATAATAGAGAGAAGGGGATTGTTAGTAATGTGGATATAATAATGATCCTATTGGTAGCTAGATCCTAAATATCGTGGGTTGAAATTTATACAACACCAGAAAGTGGCGGAAATACCTATAACAAACCAAATTCATATGAATATATAAATATTAATGAATTTTTAAGTGAAGTGGTTACATTAGCCGCAACGCCCGAATCTGCAAAATATTTGACTCATTTGACCTCATTTAGTAAAGAAAAATCATTAAGTAAATACTTAACTACACCTCATGAAATTATGAGAATGGTTTCCAGGGGGAACCGCGTGGAGTTCAACCTGACATTGCTAGTAATAAGATTATCAGTCCACATTACTAACAATCCTCTTTCCCCTCTTGGTTTATTGTTTTTATTTTTATTATGAAAAATCGAGCACAAGATATCAAACTAAACTGTCATATACGTCATTCCCACGTCTAGTATTGAACTTATGAAATTGAACGTCTCACGAGAGCAAACGAAGGTCGTCAGCTGATGTTTTATAATTGGTGACTAATGTACGCGGTTATTCAACTATATATCTACGAGTCAATTCTATGAATTATAATGACGCAATGCAATAATAAATTTAAGTAGATACTAAACGACCTGACTTGAATGAACGTGAATCATTGCTCATAGCGGTTTTTGCGGCAAATGTAACCACGGTAGTAAATAAATCATTTTCATTTTTTAAAACAAATCTGTGAATATGTTTTTATAGAATTCACACAACAATAAATTACTTTATCTAAAAGGACTTTTGTTGCTGGCAGCTTGTCCACCATTTTGTTTTTGTTAATATTGTATTATTTTGATATCTAATTCACAATAATAAATTACATTACCAAAAAGTACTTAAAAGCAGTTTATCCACCATTTTCTTTTTATAAATATTGTTTTATTTTTATATGTCACTTTTGACTTGCGAGCACTCTTGGAAATTATACACACCTTTACAATTATTCCGTTTTTTAATAAATAGTTGTTGTGTTCCCGCTCTAGTCATAAATCTGGAAAACAGTCTTTTATGTCTTTTAATGGTAAAGTTGGGGCACATGAGCCCATACAACTAAAGATTGTGTGAAGTGATATAATAGCATTAAACATGAAAAAATATTTACAATAAAAATACGTGGTAGGATCCCGTGATTTTTACTATATGTATAAAAAACATTTGTCGTAAATTTCTTAATATAGCATCTACCTGCAACTGTGTACCGTATCTAAGCAGGATAAATAGTGAATATTGTTATGCTGAATGCTGTTACTATATTTGTACTAGCTGTGCCCGCGTGAAATAGTCACCTCAGATAGCATTTTTAATTATTAAAGCTAATTATTTTACAAATCCTAGCTTTAAAAATGACGATACCTTCATACAACCTTTCATCTCCTCTTTCAATCCTTTTTTCACAAAGTACCCTATGTAGGTACTTTCTCAGGATCTAGACTAGATGTATATTTCATTTAAATCGGTTCAGTAGTATTGGCGTATGAGCGCACCAGTATTTTTTGCTTTTATAATTTATGATTTAATATATAAAAATATGGTGATACAGTGTTTAATGACCCCTAAATATTTTTTAGATTTTATTTTATTTTATTATGATTCAGCACAATAAATTTTCACACCTCTATCCCTATTTTTATAAACAATATTCATTTATATGGCAAAAAGATGTTTGTCAGGATGGTTAGTATATATACATATATATATATATATATATATGTCAAAAGAAAAAATCAAATCAAAAAGAAAAAATATTGAATACATAACCAACTGGTTAAACAATTAATAAGAGGAAATCAGTCATAGTGATTAGAGCAGACCAGTCCCTACAAGCAGCACCCGTTCACGAGTATGACGGATGAGCCAGCCATCACTGCGCTCGACCATATTTTAGGGAGCCCAATGATCCGGCCCACCACGCCGCCACAAGCGGCACAATAAAATAACAAATAGGCTTTATTATATACGCAGATGAATCTGCGAACACAGGTAGTATATAATAAACAGGTAGTATATAATAAACAGGTAGTATATAATAAACAGGTAGTATATAATAAACAGGTAGTATATAATAAATAAAATTTAGGTGTCTGTTTTATAAATTAAAATTAACAGATTTCCACTAAATGCATATGAAATTAAATACTGTATAACATCAAAACATTAATTTAAAAAAAATGTCTGTATGTTCTTGCTAGTCTCTGAAACGGCTGTACCGATTTTGACGGGCCTCCTAGTGTCTTCATAGGCTTCACAGAGCTACCTCACCTTTCCTTTTGTGTGTTGTATGGCCACTGCTATATACTCCACTATAATGAGACCGGCTGTTTTGTTCTCACACCATTATTTTTCACTTGCGCATTAAAAGTACTGTTATCACTATTACAACAGCACCATTACATTACTGGGAAAGTACGGTTGTCTATTTATACCTTTCCACATCTAAAAGGCTATATAGATCTTTATATTTTAAATTAATATAGTATCATGGCAAGTCTGAAATACAAGCCGACAGAAAAAGACAGACAGAAGACCATGGAGTAACAGTCATTTGCCATTGTTTCTATATGTCATCATGTACAGAAATAAAATAACATAATATTTTTAATAAATATATTGATGCTACACTAACTGTTTTCTAGCAATTCTTCGAAGTTTAAAATGTTGTAAAAATCTGAGTTCCCCATTCCATGACTTTAAAACTTCCATTTGACGCTGGTCCATAAGATCTGGCATCTCTAAACCACATGTTTCGAACTCTTCGTGTTCGTTTTTCTTCGTTATATTTATTATGTCTTCCCTACTAGCATGTTGGCGATTTTTTCTCTGTCCAACGGAATTTTTTAACGTAATTTGTTCTAATTCCTCGTCAAATCTAGATAAATATGTCTCTATTAACTGCAAAGTCTGTTTTTTATTTAAAACAGTACATTCTTCAGGTAATCTCTCTTTAAACCACATAATTTTTTCCCCGATTATGTTTTGCTTAATGTGTGTTCCTAACTTACTCTGACCTCTTTTTTCGCTTTTCTTCATCTTCTTGGCTAGGGAAGTGGTTTTTCTACTATTGGGATGTTTTAATTTTTCCATACTTTTCTTGATATTAGGCATTATAAAATATAAATTATATTTTCTTAATTTTTCTTACAATCACGTGTTCTTGTTTATTTTTATATGAATACAATATTCAATATTGAGTTTGACATTGACAGCCATAAATTTGTGTCAAGCAATGATATGAAAAAAAAAATTTGAACGAGTAAATACGTATACACCAATCTTACATTTAGAAGAATTATGTGTAATAGATAGTAAACCTAATCTTTAGTAAATTAAAAAAATATTTTTCATTAAGATTTATAGAATAATATCCAAATAATAGAAACAAACTAACATGAGACTATGAATTAAGGGATTCTATCCCCTTTGCACAGTTATAATATACAAATATTAATTCGTTCTTATCAATGCAGAAAACGTACATTAAATTTAATATACATTAATTTTAATATGTGGTTTGAAATGCTAAGTGAAAATATATGTATTATACTAAAATGTTGATCTAGAAAACGTGCGAAAGGGACAGATTCCCTTACTATGATTTCTCATGTCTGACGTGAACGTAGTTGTTCAGTCATAAGATTTTGTTTTAGAAAATGTATTAAATGCAAGTTTGTAGTAGTGTTATGTATAAATAAAATTATTTCTTTCTCTTAAATTTATCTCTTTGTCAGCTGTAAATGATCCAGAAATTCATTATTCTATTAAAACAATAATTAACTGTAACCAAATTACTCTGTGCTTATACTCTCTATTGTCCCTTCTGATCTGTTTTTAAATGGAATAACCTTTGTTTTCGAAGTATATTTATTTATATCAGTGATATGTAAACTTTGTTTTGCACCAAATATATTAAATTTAATTATTTCCCTTGATATATTTCTACAATGTTTAAGCGACCGTGTCCCGGCGATGATGAAGATGATATTCTTAAAATGCAGGAAGAGTTCTTTAGGGAAAAAAGTAAAAATCAAAACATGCAACCAGCAGCTCAAGTTACTAATCTTCGACGTACAGAACTGAAAAGAGTCACCACCAGTGAAACAGGTGCGCGAAAACAGTCCAAATACGCAGAATCTAAAGGTCTGAATTACAAAAGAAGCAATGTAGAAAGTGGAAGTGCCTTACTTGGTGATGTCTTGGAGAAGAATACGAAGGAATCAGAGCACAACGATGATGATGACAAGGTTTATTTCCCAAAAATTCAACCGTCGGTGCTTGGAGATATTGTGGAAAAAAATGTTGATGAATCTATTGATTTTGTTTTCAATCCAATGCCAGCACATGGCTTCCCTGCTGTTATGAAACGAACTGATCATACTACAGAACGTAAAGATAAGACTAAAGGAATAAAAGTAAGTGAAAATTCAAATATGGAAATTGATGAATTATGTACTACTTCGGCAAGCAATCAAACAACAAATTTAGTAAAGAATTTCCCAACAAGAAGTTACATATTATCTTCAAGTGATGCCAACAATATACATGATGAAAATTTAAAAACTCTCACCACATTATCTGAAAAGGAGATATTGGAAGAACAACAAAAACTGTTATCTAGTTTAGATCCTAAATTAATACAGTTTTTAAAATCTAAACGGGAACATGCTCTAAACAATACGAAGGACAATAAACAAATTGCATATAGTCCACCAGTCCATAATATAGTAAATGATGACAATATGGATACAAGTGAATCATTTAATGACTCAGAGGTAGATAACACTGATGCACATTGGGAAAATGATGTACTGTCACATCCTGATGTGAATACATGGTTACATTTTGATTCTCTGGAGAAGGATAAATTGGAATGGATAAAAGGGATTGTTGAAAGTAGAAAGATAAAACCTGACGAGCCGTACGAAGCTAGATTTGACTTCAAGGGTTATTTGTTACCATACACAATGGAGTACACAGAAAAAACAAAAACCCTCTTTCATCACGGAGAGGAGCCACACCGTCCTGGGTATACCTTGCTGGAGCTTTTTGAGCTATCTCGATCTGCTGTAACACAACAAAGGGTTATGGCTTTAAACACAATTGCGGGTGTTCTTGAATACTACATGGCTGGGACTTACAAAGATATAATAGACATACCACTTACTAAAATATTCTTCATCTTAAGATTTGCAATTGATGAAAACAAAACCATAATTTTAGAACCTGCCTTAAAAGGAATGAGGAATCTGCTTTATAATAGAATTGATGAGGCAAGCCTTGATGCATTATTAGGGTTTGAAGAAGGCACTCGACAGCCATGTTTGGAGAATGATAAATCAGAAATTGAAGAACTAGAATCAAAAGAATCTGAGCTCAATGATTTTCATTTGGCAGAAATTGACTTAATTGCTGCTGCTGTGAGAAGTGATATAATTCAGAGATTGTTTTATATATTAGATACAATTAGGCCTAGTTTTAACTGTGTTCAATACTGCTTACAAATTTTCATAAGATTGATTAGAGACTCTGATGAAATTGCTATGAAGATTGTTCAAACTGAACATCTAATGAGTATGATAATCCAAAATTTTATTCCAGCATCCAGTCTTAGCTTTGCATTTGTGCCACAAATTGTTTACAAAGGAAAACCAATCTTGGCTGCCTTAAAATTTTTGAGAATCCTCTCATTACAATCTAGGGATGTAGGTGAAGTTTTAGTGAACAAATATGGAATCATTAGGCCACTTTTTGAATATATTAGCTCAGGAGTTGATGGTACATATGGATTACGTATTCAAATCGAGGCATACTGTATAGTATCTAATTTGTTGCAATTTAATCTTGCTATTGAAGATGCCATGTCATTGTCTCCTATAATTGTAACTTCATTATATAAACATGTGAAAGGGAGTGATGTATTTATTAAAGCTTCAGTTGTGTCAGCTACGCATGCAGCAGTGGTAATCCAACTGGTAAATAATCTTTTAAATTGTAACTCAGTTTATTTGGAAAATTTCAAGCATCAAGTTTATCCTTTGCTCAAAGAAGGGGTACAGAAATGGTTTGCACAGTTATCATGTTCTGATGCGTACACATGTGGACATTTACGGCTTCTTAGTTCAGCTCTAGATTGCTGCGTAACTATTTTGTTACATGAAAGAGTTCCATTAAAATTCCTTAGTGATGCTCTAAAAGAATTTATCATATCAAAGGGATTCAAGGAGATTCTAAAAAATGTTGTCCCATGTTCAAATTTATTATCTGGCATAGAAAACAAAGATTTACATTTCATTAAGAATTTGAGAACCCTTGGTACATCAGTCATAGATTCTGCTCAAAAAGTATTGCCCGTTTTGAATGTTGTATCACCAATACCGTTTTTGGTCGCGTTGCTTAATGTATTACGTGTGATGGAAGATAAAGAACTCTCTACAAATATAGTTAAACAGTTTCATATTTATTTAAAGAATGTAGAAAGTAAAGCTCCTAGTCTTTGTGATAATTGGTTTACTAGAATGGAAGTATATTTTCTTTTTAGTGTTATAAAAATAGCAGTTCTTAATGATATTGATATGAATGACGACATTCTTTATGCAGTATCAAATAAACTGTGCTATATCTTGAGGATAGACAAAAAATATGAATTAGAATTTCTTTTTAATGCTGTCGTATTCAACAAAAAATGGTTTGCAGCGGAAAGGTTATTCAATCTAATGTCATTATCAAATACAGATAGTTGTACAAAAGTTTTACCATCTATAATAAATATAAAAAGATGTTACAGAAAAGTAATTAATTTCAATTATAGAGCTATTGGCCCTAGTATTGTACTGCGAAAGTGGCAAGAGCCAATACTCCCAAGAGACTGGATTTATTTACCAATACTGATGTTATACAGCAGAAGTCAAGAAGCAGACTTAAAAATGAAAACGGAACCTACAGAACTGCATCCATATGGTAAAGCAGTGTCACAAGAACTAGACGAGAAAGATTCAATGATAGCATGTAGCTTGGGATGGATCTTGCTAAACGAACAGTGCTATTCAGACCTTTTGAACGATATCGACTTAACAGACAGATTTTGCCGCATTATGTGTGTTTTCCTTTGTGATAATTCTCTATTTCTAAATGCGGATATAAAAGACTTGCTGCATAAGTGTACGCAGGTGTTATTCAAGAAAAATGAAGGATTTAACTTTGATAAGGAACTAACGGGGTTGAATAATTTCCAAGATTTCTATACCCAGTTTTTGGAGCAGTTCCAGTCAGTTAGTTATGGGGATGCCACTTTTGCTGCATGTGTTTTGGTGCCAATAGCTCAAAAACATAACGTGAAATGGCGTAAACTTTTATGGTCGGAATACGCTGGGTGCCTAAGAGCACTTGACTGCCCTGAAGATTCGTTATGTTACGAAATGAAGGATTACCTATACCCAGAAGAAACTGATGAATCTTTACTGAAGTCGTACGGTCAGGCATTGTCTACAAATTTATTACGGCCTGACACTGTAGCGTATAGAATAGCTAGACACCATTTTGAAAGCTTTAAGAATCGTAATAATGTAAGGAATGATGAATAACAGCAGTGTATGTGAAATAAAGATTTTTTAAATTCTCAGCCTATTCTTATGCTTATTATATATTGGCTTGATCTCAGTAAATACCTACCAAACCAATCCTCTAGTGTTCCCTTCTACATGTTTGCTACTGTTTTCTGAACATCGTCATTCAAGGTTTTCTATGATGATGGAATGGTATACCCACCTGCGCTGGTGGGACACCTTTGGAGGATGATAAGATGAATATGTGGTCACGACAGATAGTTCATCGCTATAAATATGCTAGGAATTTATCATAATAAATTTCAGGGGAACCGCGTGGAGGTCATGCTGACATTGTACATTGCTAGCAATAGCCTCATTATTACGGGTTTATAATATTAGTAAAATTTACACACATTTTTTTAAATACACACATAGAAAATACCCAGGTACTAATGATCATACTCATGAAAACAATTGTTTGAACCGTGCGAGGAATCGAACCTGCGACCATCGGAAGCAAGTTAATAAAATGTTTGTTTCTCACTGATAGTGCAGTGTAATAAATAATTTTTAATGCTTGGTATGAACAAAAACAAAACTTCCCTGTATAAAGCATTAGTTTACTTCAAATTTTGCCATAAATCCACGACAAATTAGATGCTAAACAATAAAAAATGCATTTTTCTCCAACCCCTGTAGTTTTAAAGCAGGGTTAAATAGGGTAGAATGACGGGTTTTTGAAGGAGGGGTCTTTAAAGTATATAAAAAACTTCCCTGGTCACTGCACCCGGGTGTAGAATGTGTTAACAAAGCCCTTGTAACTTAACTACTAAATTATTTACTTTAAATAATAATAGAGAAAAGTAAGTATCTATCTCTAAACTTTATGCTGATCTATTTGAAATTAAATTAAAAACTTTTAGATATTTACATTATTTTATAGGTAACAAATATTTTTATACCCACAAGTGTTTTTTTTTTTAGTGGATGATAATGGAATCGTGCACCCGCCTGCGCTAACGGTTTACGCTGGCGGGGCACCAGTGGAGGATGATAAGATGAACATGAAGTCAGATCAGTTAGCCCAACGTGACAAATTCACTCGGAATGTATCACGATGGTTTCCAGGGGGAACCCCGTGGAGGTCAACCTGACATGGTACATTGCTAGCAATGGGGTTATCAATCCAAATTACTAACAATCCCCTTCCCCCCACCCACAAGTGTTACTAACTTAGGGTTATAAAAATTAGTTATAAACCTATTCTCAGACCTACTGAATATACATATAAAATGTCATCAAAATGGGTCAAGCCGTTTCGGAGGAGGAGGACAAACACGAAACTTCTGAATATTAGGTTTTCTATTTAAATTGAGATTCAGAGGTAATAATATTCTCCACGTTTTTGTTGCGTTACAATTAATTTATAATAATAAGTTGTTTATATATTTACTTATCACTATATAATATGTACTTAAAAGAAATAAATTATCATTCACCCATTTTTTATCTCATGTGAATGCGTCCTAATGGTATAGAATGAGACTCGCCCCCGCCGTATCATTTCCGAACTAAAAAAATCAATAACTCATAGCGCGTAGTTGTGTTTCGGTGTTTTTCCTATTGTGAGTGTCCATTGTACCCCTGTGCAGTGAATATACAATAATATTACAATAAAAATAGTGTACACGTCGATTCTAACACGAGAATGAAGGTGAAATTAACAGAATGCCACATCCCAAACAGAAAACAAAGGTTCAGAATGTAACTGTGAAGTTAGATTTTGACTATATACGAGAAAAACTACTCCAATACGCCGAGTTGCCGATCGATAGTAGGCCGCCACGCAAATCTTCAAGGAAAACAAAGCCGAAACCGAAATTAAGCCAGTACCAATATCAAGAGCTCAAAACAACAAAAAATGTTAGGCGTCCTTTAAGACCTATTCAGCGTTTTACGTGCAAAACGCCAAGCACCGAAGAGGAGCCTGTGGACGATTGTTATGATAAGATACATTTTCCTAAAGTAATTCCATCCGTATTAGGAAGAATTATTGAGAAGAATTATGACGATTATGATAGTTTCGATGAGAAACCAATGCCGGCGCAAGGTTTTCCAGTCGTAAGTAAACGGAGTGTAATTGAAAAAGGAGATAATAAAGAGCAATTAGTAAATACGGAAAGTTTTGATCAATTTGATTCAATACCTTTTAGTGAACTGTCTGAAGAGCAAATCTTGAAAGAACAGCAAAAACTGATCACAAAACCTGAAGAGCAGGAATTTGCGATGGCTGACCCAAAAGCGGCTACGGACGAGGCTGCTCCTACTACAGCAGATACCACAAAGAGTAATGAGAAGAATTCTGACACGACTCCGAAAATTGACAGCGATGAGTCATTTTGGGATAACGATATTTTCACTAATATCGATATAAATAACTGGATGCATCTTGATACTCTTGAAAAGGATAAGTTGGAATGGATGAAGAACATTGAAGAACACAAAACGGTAAACCCAGATGAACCTTACGAAGCGAGGTTCGATTTCAAGGGGTACTTACTACCGTACAAAATTGACTATACAGAAGAAACAAGAACGTTATATCACCATGGAGAAGAATCACATCGTCCTGGTTATTCACTTTCAGAATTGTTTGTATTGACCCAGTCAGTTATTCCACAACAGAAGGCTATGGCACTAAATACAATTGCTGGAATATTAGAATACTACTCTGTAGGTACGTACAAAAATATACTTGAATTACCTCTAAGTCAAATATTCTTTCATCTTAGATTCGCAATAGATGATAATAAACCTATGGTTTTGGAACCAGGTTTAAGGGCTTTAAGAAATTTGTTGTGTAATAAAGTAGACGAAGCCAGCTTAGATGTATTGTTAGGAACTATAGATGGCGTGGTACAACCATATCTAGGATTTAAACGTCCGCCTGGAATTACGGAGATAGAACTTAGGGATTCGGAAAAGAAAGAATTTTATATTGCAGAAATAGATATATATACAGCACTTATGAAAAGTGACATTCTTGAAAGGTTTTACTATATTTTGGAAACAGTCAGGCCTAGTAGTAATTGTGTTCAATATTGCTTACAAATTTTAACAAGACTGGTTAGAGAAAATCTTAATGTAATAGATAAAATAACTGAATCAGAAGACCTAATGCATACAATAGTAAAAAACTTTATGCCCGCATCCAGCATAAAGTCTACTTTTAAACCGCAAAATATTTATGGCAAACCATTTTTACCTGCGTTGAAATTTATTAGAGTTCTTGCTATACAAAGTAAAGAAATTAACGAATTGTTGGTAGACAAATATGAAATTACTAAACCGCTTGCGGAATATATAAGCTCAAATGTGAGTGACAATTATGGGATGCGTCTTCAAATAGAATCGTATAGTATATACACAAATTTGATACATCTTAATGTCGGCATCGAAAGTCTTACTGCATTAGCGCCAGTTTTGATAGGATCCTTCCATAAACATGTTAAACGCACAAACGTCCTAGTTAATTCTTCAGTTTTATTAGCTACACATGCAGGTTGTGTTATTCAGGTAGTTAATAAATTAGTTAATTGTAACACAACCAATTTTAATAAATTTAAACACCAAGTTGTTCCTATGGTAAAAGAGGGAATAAAGAAATGGATCGCTCAACTATTACATTCTAACACGTATACCGCTGGAATGTTGCGCCCCATTTGTTCAGCTTTATATCTTTGCAAATCCATTATGCTCTCCATGAAAGCCCCAGTGAAATTTCTCAGTGTTCCTCTAAAAGAACTATCATCGTCAAAAATATACAAAGAAATTGCCAGCAAGCTTGTACCATGTTCCAATTTATTATCTGGCATCGAATCCCAGAGTTTTCATAGGGCTAAAAACCTGAAGACTCTTTCTACGACAGTGATAGATTCACCAGACAAAGTATTGCCTGTGCTACGTAAAGATTCGCCGTATACATTATTCGCAGCGATATTTAATGTGTTGTGTCTACTGGAGGATACTGATTTAGTGAGCGAAATCGTTGACAAAATGGTACCTTATTTTAGACTACTATATACCACAAAGGAACCAAGTCTATGTGACAATTGGATGACACGATTAGAAGTTGGGTTCCTTTTCAACTACGTAATAACTGCATTTTTCAAAGAAACCAAAATTAATCCAGATTGGACCTTTACTATATCACATAAACTAGGTCACATTTTGGGTAAAGACCAGTGGATTAAGCTCGATTTTCTTCTTAACAGCGTTATTTTTAGCAAAAAATTCCTGTCACCTGAAAATGTTTTTAACTTTATGTCGTTAACAGGAGTAGGCAACCCATCTAAAATTACGACTTACATTGCCGACACAAAAAGTCGGTACAAAGACTCATATAATTTGAATATCAAATTTCCTAAAGCCAAGTGCTTACTTTGGGAACAGTCAATACTCCCTAAAGACTGGCTGTACTTGCCGTTATCAGTATTGTACGAAATGAAACATAATGTAAACTGGCGTGTGGATAAAGGAGACACAATCGAAGATGCCAAAATACCGTCAATTGTCGAATGCAGTTTAAGATGGATTTTGTTCATCGAAAAGTGCTATCCAGAGCTAGTTCACGATACAGATGTCACAGACAGATTTCTCCGTGTGATGTCCATTTACCTTCTCGGTAAACCGATATTTTCAAACACTGTAATCAAGGATTTGTTAAAAAAATATATAACTGCAATGTTTAAGAAGACAAATGATTTCAATTTTGATAAGAAATTCATGGGCGCTTATAACTTCGAAGATTATTATAGGGAAGTCTTGAAGCAGTTCCAATCGGTGGGCACAGAGGATTCGACGTTCATTGCATGTGTCATAGTACCCATAGCTCAGAAACATAATGTCAAGTGGCGCCAAATGTTATGGTCGGAGTTTTCTTCTTGTCTAAATGCAATTAAATGTCCTTCGGAATTGTTACACTACGATGACGACGACTACATGTTCCCATTAGAGACTGACGAGACTCTCCTTAAGTTGTACACCCAGGCAATAACCAGCTTTTCCCTAAAGTCTACCACTTTAACGTATACAATAGCTCACCATCATATCAAGTCGTCATTAAAAAATATAACTGGTACTGCATCTACCAGCACGGAATCGGAAAATGTTAAAACTGAGACGGAAAGCACGGACGCATCTGAGAAATAAAATCGGTCGATTGAAAAAGATGAATAATTAAATGATGAATTCTAAAATTAAAATCCTATTTAATTTATACAACATCGTAATTAAATTTAGGGAATTAAGAATAATTTTACAACTAAAATAAAAAAATAGGTACGAGTACACATTCAGTTGAGTCAGCCATTGTTCGTTTTTAAATGAGAACTAATGTAGGGACAGACTATATAATTTTAGGATCACATAGGAAATGTATTTCCGTTTAATATCAGTGAAGAATCAGCTAGTATTTGAGATTAAAATTAAGACGATTTCTTGGTATTCTGGCTATGATTAATTTAATATAGTTGTACTGTAGGTAATTAATTTTAAACTTACGGATAGTAAGCTAGACAAGCAGTAAGCATTAGACTTAATACTCGAGCACTTTAACTAATTTATCGTATGGTGTTTTTACTATGGATAAAATATTATTTTGATTTAACTTTGGGGATACATCTATATTATTATATTGTTAGTGTATAATCCAAATTAGTGATAGATAGATAGAATATACTTTATTTGTAATATACAGGAAAGAAAAGATAAACAATATATTAAAAAACATATGTATAAACGGTTTTAAAATTCGAACAGGCAGGTAATGTGCAAACAGGAGAAAAGAAAAAAATAATAAACATTATGTTGATGGTAATGCTTTCTTCAACTTGAAACTTATGAAAAAATATTTATGTATGAATTAAGATTAATTACGTAGAAATTGTGAATAAGTTGTCGACAAAATTTAGCGAATACTCTTTAGATTTTTCTTTAATACTCATAAAAATTTTAATTATAATTGAATTTTCAATCCCATGTTACGTAAAGGGGTTACCATTTATAAAAAAGAATTTCGTAATATGGATGATGTTTCTATTTACATAAAATATAAACTATTTACTTTCATGATGTGTTGAGTTATTTTTCTTAATGTTCCGCCGTTAATTTTAATATTTTTAGATAGGTATCTATTTGATAGGTAGGTCTTTATAAGAATTCGTCGCTTTACAATATTATTGATTAGAATTAAGTTAATCTAAGACTTGAAGTAAGTTATAAAGTACGTATTATTTCGAAAGCGGAACCTAATATTGATAAGTGTAGGGTATAATTGAAAGAAAGGCACATGTAGAAAGAATATCTCTGTGTATCAACATAGGTGCACTATATGATTTAGGTACCGAAGATGATCTCTGAAATAGAGGAGTGTTTTTTTTAATGGATGAATAACATAGAATGGTGGGGCATTAATTAACGATGATAAGATGACAGTAAAATGATCTCGTTTCTAGAAGGATCCATGTGTCGGATACGAGGAGGAGTATATAATTAAGCTCCAATATCTAAACATGAATTAATTGACTATTCTGTTGTACGCTATAATTCGTGGGGCATGGGAATTGTACTGCAATATGTTGCAGTTTTAATTGTTTCTTATCTTATTGTCTAATTTTTGTCTATATGTATATGGCACTGTCTGTTTGTGAACACCGTTAGTTTATTGTAAGATTGTAAATTATCGATAAATTGTAAACTATTTACTGCACTAGATACAAAATTTCGTATTAATTATCGATAATTTACAATCTAGGTAATTATTCTCGTTAAACCGTCAAAATGTGTACAGCATCCAACTCAACATGGATGGTTCACAATTATATCGTAAATTATATGCAAAGAAAATTTTATCATTATTATTATTATTATTACCTATATAAAATTTAATTGCGTCAATTAAACTATATTAAGTTAATTTATAACTGACTTCGAAAATGAGGTTCGATTCAAATGTATTTTCGTTTATTTTACTTGATAAGATTTTGAAGGATATTTATTAATCGAAAGGATTTTCTTCCGTGTCATAGATATAGATAAGTACTTTCTATACTTTTGATATACCTACTTTTTGAGACATGACCTAATATTATGAATATAGAGAAATAACATTTCAAACTGTTATGGAATAGGTTCTCGAGTCGTAAAGTATACCAAGTTGAATTAATAAAAAAAAAGTTAGAAAGAACTGAAATTAAAAAGTAATATAATAAATAAATCGTTTAGAAATTTTAACACTTCATAAAAATTTCGTGATCGAGCCATAAATTTTATATGAATAATTCACAATGAATGTTTCTTAATGAATTTATTTTCATGTTGGTATACACTTTACCACTGAGCCTGTATAAATAGGTACTCATTTTTATTAGTACTTATGTAAGATTTCATAATCGACTTTACTATATCACCAGAATCTACCTTATATTAATATATTGTAAGTTATTTAATGAAATATAAAAATGGCGGGAATTTGTTCCTAACCTGACATTTATCAGCCTGTATATTTCTTCCACTCAAATCGTGTACTTATTTTTTTTTAATTTATAGATATTAATGTAGGCTTAGAGAAAAATATTTATTCTACGATATATGGTAACTGTGTGGATATTACATAACTGTTATTATTATATTAGATAGTAATTATAATTATTTAAGTAAGTTACATTTCTTAAAAAGTTATAACATCTTTAGTAAAACTGTAAATCAAGCGGACTATTATAGAATTAGAAATTCGAATGTTCGGAATGCAATCGATCATTACTCAACTAAACCTTCTTTCTAGAACTCCAGTTATACATATAAGTTCAATACAAAATGTTTAAAATATAGTAATAATTTATTTATTAATTTCTAAACAATATTACATACGGGAAATTTCAAAAATCACATAGAATACTAGTTGCATAATTATTTAGAATACAGTAATGGTAACAGTCATCTGCTCCCCATAGACACCTTGCCGTGTAGCAGTTTTATTTGACACACAAACTCATCTTCCAATGGTGGTCAGTGTTCTAGTTCCAATGATGTTTGATTCCTACATTATACAAATACATATGCATAGTCGTGGCTATGAATGTTTGTTATTCGTATATGTTACTATGTGATATATCCAACATTTATTTATTATTTATGACACAATTCTTCTGTATAATTCAATTGAACAAAAATATAGCTTTTTATAGTTTAGAGTTTAGAGTTATCTATAATAATTTGTTTAAATATGACCATTTGAAATAAAAGGCGTTCGAAATTTTGATTGCAACTTCGAATTTTTAATTTGATATTAGACCCTTGGTTTCGTGTCACCTAAACTAAGTTTCGATGCTATTTAAGAAGAAAAGTTTATTTTTTATTATAAGCTTGACTATGCAGGGGCTTTATTATGTAACGATGCAACATCGTTATGTTTTTAAATGAATTTGATATTTCAGCGATTATGCATGAACAGTTTGACAGTTGCCATTGCAAACAGTGCAACTTGCATTATCTGCAAAAGGTTCGAACATCACAAAGGTTACAATTTCAATCAGAAACTATTACAATGGCATTACATAATTAACCCTGGCTGCTTTATGGATCAAAAAGAAGTTTTAAATCTATTTAAAAAGAAATCTTTATTTTTTTACTATAAGCTCGGGTCTTGAGTCAGGTTGTGTCTCATCGTACAGGGTAACTTAGTTTGTGTCACGTTTAGCTATTAGTTTTTGTTGCGTACTATTCTTGATCACCTATTATTTTTTAATTAGAATTGTATTACATTTTCATGTTATTAGATAGGGTATATTACACTGTCAAGTATATAAGATGTAATCAAAATAGTGCTCAATAATTTTAGACATCTATTTTTCTTTTAATTTATACAGTTATTTACTCTTTATTCCACATCCTGTCAACAGTCTACTGTTGGTTCAATTTCCTTCATACATTCAATTGATTAGTTAATTTTGTGCATAGTAGCAGAGATTTTCTAAAGTACAATAGTTCAAAGAGATGATCGTTATATTTAGTGTTATTATGTAATCCTGTTACTAACACTTCGAGTTGATATTGTAATCGAGAATTAAGAAATTATGTTTTGCAAATTCGTTTCATTGTTGCAATTGCAAAATGGCATACCTTAATTTGCATTTGTAACTCAAATGGTTCATAAAAAACAATGAACTAATGTATATCAATCTGATACGATTAAGAATTGTTAGTAACAGTGTTATGTAATAGAAACGCGGATATAATTCCGTTATTATACATCTAAAAATATTGACCACTAGTTTGCTTATACATTACTTAATTCTATAGAATAATTATAAATTATTATTACATCATAATCGTAATTAAATTTGATTCCTTTACAAACAAATATCTACACTATGACTTATACGAATTAGAAATGACTTTAAATATACGTAATTATAAGTAGCTATATTACGTAGGTATCATGAATTTATAGAATAGGACCTAATAATTTATTCTTAGTGTAAGAAAATCATTAATTATTCATATGTTCATTACTAAAGTCTCGCACACTTAAAGCATCACTAAATTTTAAAGAATACGATGTAAGATCACCTTGGCCTATTGATTTACGACCCTGGTTTATACCGAAAGGTCGTGAGTTCAAATTGTCCGAACGAAATTTTTTTGCGATAAATTAAATTTTTGACTTTCTCTCTGATGATGGACACACTCATAACAATTCAAACTAGTCCATAGTTGACGGTAATCTTGCTGAAGTGTGGGCTTGATAATTGTTCCGTCTACTTAATACTTTGATTATCTCAACTGGGATAGTGAAATTCACATTAATTTTTTTTAAAAGTGTTGTTACGACATATTTTCTAGTCGGTACATCAGTTACGCATAAAGTACAAAATAATAAATGGTGACTCAATAATTTTTGTATACTCAGTTTGATGAGCTTTTGAATTATTTCGCTTATATAATATGGTATGATTGGTATAATTTATAAAATTTAACTGAAGAAGCGACTCTCTAATTATATTATATCTATAAATAATTATTCTCACGACTGTATAACCTAATGGGATACTTATTGTAACAGATAAACTCGGCCTCTCTTACGTTACATTCAAACATTCTTAATAAAATGTGGGCATATGTGGGCAAATGACAAGTTCATTTTTACCAATATATTGACAGTTACCAATGGATCGTGCTGCCCCATCTAGGATTATAGTTGTGAATATATACAATATACAAGTGTTTTATATGAATGCATTTATAACAGCTTTGTGGCTTGGTTACGTTATTGACAGCTTTCCGATTATTTACGAACCATTTGACAGATACAAGCAAATGGTTGTTATATAATGCATTCATAATTACTTAATTATTCCAAACTTTATGTCAACACGGTCAAATGAAATCTGTTTGAAATAGTAGCTGTTAGCTACTCTTTACTTTTAATAATGGTGTATCCAATTTTATATGTGAATGTTACATGTTAATAAATGTCAGCAATCTGAAACAATGTTTTATTTTTTTCTGGTTGAATATAGAATGACTGACTGACACTGCTCATCCGCACCTTCATAGGGCAGTAAAGGTTGGACAGGGACATTAACTCCGGGGGCTACAAACCCCGGTTAGCTGGGTTATTAGCCTCTTAGGGCGAGAATGAACTTATAAAGAAAACTAAACTGAACTTAATTTAAATATTAGTGTCGAACTAGGGAACAATTTTTGAGTCTTTTTTTTGCACTTATGGAATGGCACATGTCTATGGCAACATTTTTTTTTCATGACTGGTATAGTGGTAGCCACAGCAATGATAAGATGAGAATGAAGTCAGGTCAGTTAGCCCATCGTCAGAATTCAGCATGACGCGACGGTTTCTAGGGGTACTGTATGGAGGTCGACCAGATAGGGTATACTACTAGTAATGTTGTAACATAAATTGTAACTAACTACTACTGTTGTTAACAATCAGCATTCGCAATAATAATATTTATATGGGTTTACTACAATTTTGATCATATTATTAGATTAACACAGGAACATATCCTTAGCAAAAATAATAGTAAAATTGGTTCGAACAGAAAATAAGGAGGAGAAATATTTATTAAATCCTATGATGACTGCGGAGTAAATATTATAACAGATATTTAAATCGATACTTTTTAAAATCACAATATATTGTATTATTTGAAGTTCTTAAATATGAGCTAACGTTTATGAATAACTAGCTGACCAGGCAAACGTTGTTTTGCCATATAAATTGATATCGTTATTAAAAAATAGGGGTTGGTGATAGAAGGGTTGTATATATTTTTTAATACCACACAATAAAAAATAAAAACAAATGTGGACAAAATTAAAATATTTTTAGCCACTCTTAACACAAATAATTATAAATTAAGTTAAATTAGTTATAAAATTTCATCACAATCGGTAAGTCGATTTCGGAGGAGTATAAACACGAAACCTGTGTCAAAAAATTTTATATATTAGATAATAAAATATAATATATTAAGATCATCATCGTTTTATGTTACTTTAATTAATATAAAATTAATGTAATAATAAGATAATAAAGATAATATCCGCATATTATCACTTATTAATTTTATAGTAAATAATAGAAATGCTATTCTAATTTTTGAACGACTTCTAGAAAAGAAAATAATAAATGAACGCGACAATAATTTTGGCGGGAAATCGTATCGTACAGTTCATTCTATGACAGATGACAAGCAAACAAAGTTCGAACTTGATACATTTTTAACAGGTGTTCACTGGTGCTTCTACTCGTTTTTATAGTCTTAATAGTCGTTTTTCTCATTCAGTTGTTATTTAAAACAAGAAATCATAATGTTGTCGTAATCTTACCTTAAAAAGTGAGCTCTAGTAGACTTAAAAATGTTTATAGATGACATAAAAACAGATTTCTACGATGTTCTGCTCGGGAATGTAGGTATCAAATTTGTTGCTATTGTTTACATGTTGTATGTAATTTTCTAAATTAAATCTTTCATTTATTCTACAGAGAGTGTTGCTATTAGTGCATTGCGATGTCGACGCGGTATGTACATGTAAAATCCTCCAGGAGTTGTTTAAATGTGATAATATTTCATACACGTTGGTGCCTGTGGGGGGTATTTCCGAGTTGAAAACTGCATACGAAGAGAATAGTGAGGAAATAAAGTATGTGGTGCTGATTAACTGCGGCGGCACTATTGATTTGGTGGATATCCTGCAGCCAGAAGAAGATGTGGTGTTTTTTGTCCTGGATTCACACAAACCAACAGATATTTGCAATGTTTATAGTGATGGACAGGTTAGTTGTGATAAAATAAATAAATCTAAATCAATAGCACCATCCAGCCACAAGCTTCTACTATGGAGAAGAAGGTCTTAGCTTCTCTGTAGTAGAAACTCTCCTCATTTTGTGGCTTTCAATACTTTGATTATTAACCCTTCGAACATCCTGATACAGGTCTGTGTATCCTTCTTAAACCGTATTAGTGTTGTCACAGATCTGTGCCTGCAAAACCGTGACTTCTTTTTAACTAATTTTATCCTTATTTAAAACAAAATAAGATTGAAACACATTTAACAAAATACAGCCTCTTCACTTTCGGTTGCAGCGACAGATGATGGACATTCGAAAAGTTAATACTCTCTATACTTCTATAATGTGTATACTTACAACTTAATACTAAAATAATACCCATTATTGAAGTATTTGAAGTTTTAACTTTGCTAATCTAAAATATAATTTTATTATACTGATATTATATTTTACAATGATCTTAAAATCATGTTATAATCTACTGATTGTGATATATCACTAATTTTCATAAGTGGAAAATAATATCTAACAGCCTTGGTGGTTCTAACATCATGTGCTAATCTGTCAGGGATTAAACCATGATGTTGACATAGGTATGAAATGAAAATGAGTATGAAAATGTATTTAAACATTTGTATCCATTGTCTAATACCCATAATACAAAGTTTACTTAGATTGAGAGTAGATGGCATTGTGTGAATTATCCAGGATTATAATAATAATAATAATAACCAGCAAAAGCTGAGAAAAAGCAACAATAGCGTAAATAATAATAATAAGTTTCGGCCCATAAGTGTGGAAAAAAAACCAGGAAAACCTAAGAAAATGTGACAGTAGCGTAAATAATAATAAAGCCTTAATTTACTGTTACCTTTACAAATTGATACATGTGTTTTGCAGTAACTGTTGTCCTGTTAGTTTATATTTATTAATTCATTGTTTTTTTTTCTCCATTCGAATGTCAACAGTGTCATGATGTGACATAGGCCTCCTCCAAGTTTTTCCGTAGTATCTGGTCCAACTTTTCCTGCTGTCGTCTTTCCATCTTTTAATCCAGCGGTCTTTAACGTTTTACAAATCAAGAGCCAAAAATATTTTTGTTCTGTACAGCAGGCTGTACTATAGCTATTTTATAAGGATTTTTAATTTTATATTAAAGGTACTTTTTATTACTTAATTGTTTTCATTGCTGAGAGTGGGCCTATGCTATTGGCGGGCCGCAGAAATCACATCGGCGGTCTGCAGAAATCACATCGGCGGGCTGCAAGCTGAACCCCTGGTTTATAATCTGTCTCGCACTGCTTCTTATATCCAGGATGAATAAAAACCATATTATTATCGTACCTTTGCAGGTGAGGCTAGTGCACAAAGACAGTGAAGAGAACATTCCAAACTTTGATGATATATTTAGAGATGATGAAGAGGAAGAGGTATGTATCAGACAGTACAATGTGTTCTTTAAGGTTACACTAAAGTTTAGCAAGTATTGATGATCTAGCAGTTTAGCACAATACCTTACTTCGTATGATCGTGGATTTTTTTAAGGATGATGATGGAATGCTGCTCTCGCCTATGCTAACAGTTTACGCTGGCGGAGTACCAGTGGAGGATGATAAGATGAGCTTGAGGCCAGGCCAGTTAGCCCATCGTGACAAATTCACCAAGAATTTATCACGATTTATCACATGGTACATTGATAGCAATAAAATTGCCCACATTACTAACAATCCCCTTTCCTTATAATCATGGAATATACATGTCCAACAGCCCAGATGAGAGGCTGATTGCAGAAAACAGTGCAATTTACATTACATTGTGTAGATTTGAGTCCTCACCTCATGCAAACATTTATACTCCTGATTATGATCAGGTTGAGCGTTTTCTGATGATCATACTCTAGAAGTCGTATCACAAGGAATATATAGGAATATAGTGAATGTTACAAATTTAATATGAAATTATCAATATGCCAATTAAAACTGTCCAACTAGTTTAAATTGTGATATTGCGGCCTCATTAATTCCTTGGCTCGTGTAAGCTGCTCTTCAGCAGTTTCAGTTAGGGCATATAGAGTATATGCACATATTATGGACGTATACATTATATAACTTCTATTCTATTGTACATTTGGACAAACAACAACAAAGTCCAACATACAGATAATATCTTGAAATAGCTTATAAACCTACCTTGGTTTGCAAACACAACAGGTTCATGAGTATCTCAAAAGAAACACAGTAGTCAAAGAGGTAAAGCACTGCTGCTCCAAATACAAGACAGGGCTAGTAAATCCCAATCCCAATGTGCTGGCCCACCAACTATTAGTCCCCGACAAAATATGTTGCCTTAAAAGGCGTAGATGACTGGAACCCGATGACTCTCGATGACTGACCCGATGATCAGGACCATCTGAAGGGATGATGATTCAGCTGGGAATCATATTCCAACTGCAACTTAATGTTTACAACATCTGTTCATAGTCTACTTGAGCATGAACACAAAAGGTAAAAAAAATGTATTGCAATGAATTACTTACAGAGCTTTTAATTTTGTTTAGAATGAAGAACAAGCAAGTGGTATGGAGGCTCTCGAGGCCATGGTGGAGAAGAGGAAAGAGCGCCGCGCGTGGGAGGAGAGGCGACACACTCTCATGTTCAACTACACACAGTTCTCTTACTATGGGAAACCGGTTTGTACAAGAATTTTCTCCACTTGTAACCGAATGCATAACACTTGATTATATTAGCTGTCTAGTATTTATGGCACGAGTTCTGCTTATCTTGGGACTAGATGGCGCTGTGTGATTTATCCTGAGTTATTCTTACTATGTATAGTATTAAATATACGGGCGGAATTAACTTATAAAGATTAAGTTAATTTTAAGATTACTTATCTTAGTTAAGTTTACTTGAGAATTAGCGCCATACTTGGTTAAATTTTTCCGATCGATTGAATCGTTCATTTATGGTGTCCAGAGTGCGATGGTGGCGCTGGAGGTGTCATGGCGAGCCTCTCGCGGCGGAACCGGTGCGCACTGGGCGGCCGCCGTCGCACTCACCGCGCACCAGGCCTCGCACGCACGGGCCCCCGCCGCCGCGCTGCTGGACGCGCACCCGCTGCACCGCCGCCTCGCAGCCACGCACCACCAGGACCACCAGGTACCACCGCCCCTACCACCCCACCAGGCCTCGCACGCACGGGCCCCCGCCGCCGCGCTGCTGGACGCGCACCCGCTGCACCGCCGCCTCGCAGCCACGCACCACCAGGACCACCAGGTACCACCGCCCCTACCACCCCACCAGGCCTCGCACGCACGGGCCCCCGCCGCCGCGCTGCTGGACGCGCACCCGCTGCACCGCCGCCTCGCAGCCACGCACCACCAGGACCACCAGGTACCACCGCCCCTACCACCCCACCAGGCCTCGCACGCACGGGCCCCCGCCGCCGCGCTGCTGGACGCGCACCCGCTGCACCGCCGCCTCGCAGCCACGCACCACCAGGACCACCAGGTACCACCGCCCCTACCACCCCACCAGGCCTCGCACGCACGGGCCCCCGCCGCCGCGCTGCTGGACGCGCACCCGCTGCACCGCCGCCTCGCAGCCACGCACCACCAGGACCACCAGGTACCACCGCCCCTACCACCCCACCATCGTCACCTCCGAGTACCTCTGCCCCTATCTCCCCCATCACCACAACCTCCAGATATCTTGACGACCTCGGTGGTCTAGCGGTCTAGTGCACCGCTATCGACCGATGGTCGCGGGTTCGATTCCTCGCACGGCACAAACATTTGTATTCATGAGTATGATTGTTTGTATCGGTCTGGGTGCTTTCTATGTATAATATGTATGTATTTACAAAGAAAAACAAAAAATATCTTTGTGTAGCTTTAGCTAGCTTAACTTGGGTCTAGATGGCGTTGTGTGAATTGTCCTGAGATGATTATTATTATTATTATTATCCCTGTCCCTACCGGAGGAGGAAAGGAACCTAATCACCACGAAATAAATATGGTGATGCTGAACATTTGTTACACATGTATAAATAAATAGTGTAATTAATTATAATGAATGATGTAACTTGCAGTGTGCCCATGTGGTACTAGAGAACGACGTTTGGCTGCCCCTCTATCGGAGTTGGACTCTCGAGGCGGCGTTGCGCCACGCACCGGACATCGCGCCATACCTGAAGCTTCACACCCTCGCCGGAGACGCCCGGGTGCGGCAACTGCTTGCTGATATGGGGTACGAAATACTATTTACCACATTTTAATAGGGTTAAATTGGGATGCTGGTAGCATTGTGAGAGGAGTTTAGACACTGTCTTATCGTTAGGTTGGAAACAGTTTACCGTTACAGTTAATTGTAAGTTGCTTCTGCTGTATTATATGCACCCGATGCCAATATGTAAGAAAGTTTGTAATATGTATGGATGGGTAAGAATTATAAGATGATTGGTTATAATTACATGATTGTGCGTTGAACCACTAATTCAAAAGATTTTTAAATAACAATATATTATTTCTTCTTTATTTTATATGACCATATTAAATCATATTTATATTTATTTTTAAACATATCTTCAGAATATACATAATACTAACGCATTGATTTAAAGTATAAAAAAAAATATATATTTTTGTGAATTGTTGTTTTGTCGTAATTTTTAATTGACCTATAGAGAAAAGCTACTATGACGTAGGCATCCTCTAAAAAAAAGATTTTGATAAATTCTGCCCCTAAGGGGATAAATTAACGCGAGCGAAGCCGCGGGCGAAAGCTAGTAATATGATAAAGGCAATAATGTAAATACTTTGTGAGTAAAATGCACCAGCAGTTCGATAACTCATCAGCCGCCGCTGGTAGTGAGTGTAGTGAGTGTAGTGCGTGTAGTGAGTGTAGCGTGCGCGTGTGCGGGGTGCAGGTACCCGGTGTCGCAGGCGCGGCAGTCGTTCGGCGCCATGGACGTGGAGCTGCGGCGCGGGCTGCGGCCGGCGCTGGAGGCGGCCGCGGCGCGGCTCGGCCTGCCGCCGCCCGCGCGCGCCGCGCTGCTGCTGCGGGCCCCGCGCGCCGCGCCCCGCGCCGCGCTCGACCTCGCGCTGGGCGTCACGGCGCTGCTCCACCACGTGAGTGTAGTGTGCGGGGTGCAGGTACCCGGTGTGGGGCGCGCCGCGCGGCTCGGCCTCGCCGCCGCCCGCGCGCGCCGCTCTGCTGCTGCGGCCCCCGCGCGCGCCGCGCCCCGCGCCGCGCTCGACCTCGCGCTGGGCGTCACGGCGCTGCTCCACCACGTGAGTGTAGTGTGCGGGGTGCAGGTACCCGGTGTGGGGCGCGGCGCGGCTCGGCCTGCCGCCGCCCGCGCGCGCCGCGCTGCTGCTGCGGGCCCCGCGCGCCGCGCCCCGCGCCGCGCTCGACCTCGCGCTGGGCGTCACGGCGCTGCTCCACCACGTGAGTGTAGTGTGCGGGGTGCAGGTACCCGGTGTGGGGCGCGGCGCGGCTCGGCCTGCCGCCGCCCGCGCGCGCCGCGCTGCTGCTGCGGGCCCCGCGCGCCGCGCCCCGCGCCGCGCTCGACCTCGCGCTGGGCGTCACGGCGCTGCTCCACCAGGTGCGCGGCGCTGCGGCCCGCCGCGCGCGCCGCGCTGCTGCTGCGGGCGCGCCGCGCCCCGCGCCGCGCTCGACGTGAGTGTAGTGTGCGGGGTGCAGGTGGGGCGCGGCGGTGTGGGGCGCGGCGCGGCTCGCGCGCTGCCGCCGCGCCGCGCGCGCCGCGCTGCTGCTGCGGGCCCCGCGCGCCGCGCCGCGCGCGCCGCGCTCGACCTCGCGCTGGGCGTCACGGCGCTGCTCCACCACGTGAGTGTAGTGTGCGGGGTGCAGGTACCCGGTGTGGGCCGCGGCGCGGCTCGGCCTGCCGCCGCCCGCGCGCGCCGCGCTGCTGCTGCGGGCCCCGCGCGCCGCGCCCCGCGCCGCGCTCGACCTCGCGCTGGGCGTCACGGCGCTGCTCCACCACGTGAGTGTAGTGTGCGGGGTGCAGGTACCCGGTGTGGGGCGCGGCGCGGCTCGGCCTGCCGCCGCCCGCGCGCGCCGCGCTGCTGCTGCGGGCCCCGCGCGCCGCGCCCCGCGCCGCGCTCGACCTCGCGCTGGGCGTCACGGCGCTGCTCCACCACGTGAGTGTAGTGTGCGGGGTGCAGGTACCCGGTGTGGGGCGCGGCGCGGCTCGGCCTGCCGCCGCCCGCGCGCGCCGCGCTGCTGCTGCGGGCCCCGCGCGCCGCGCCCCGCGCCGCGCTCGACCTCGCGCTGGGCGTCACGGCGCTGCTCCACCACGTGAGTGTAGTGTGCGGGGTGCAGGTACCCGGTGTGGGGCGCGGCGCGGCTCGGCCTGCCGCCGCCCGCGCGCGCCGCGCTGCTGCTGCGGGCCCCGCGCGCCGCGCCCCGCGCCGCGCTCGACCTCGCGCTGGGCGTCACGGCGCTGCTCCACCACGTGAGTGTAGTGTGCGGGGTGCAGGTACCCGGTGTGGGGCGCGGCGCGGCTCGGCCTGCCGCCGCCCGCGCGCGCCGCGCTGCTGCTGCGGGCCCCGCGCGCCGCGCCCCGCGCCGCGCTCGACCTCGCGCTGGGCGTCACGGCGCTGCTCCACCACGTGAGTGTAGTGTGCGGGGTGCAGGTACCCGGTGTGGGGCGCTCCACCACGTGCGTACCGCGCCCATCACCCTCCTGCACTTCGCGTGCCGCTACCCGCCGCCTTTCCTCTCGTGCGCCTCGCGTATCGGGACTCGCCGTCGTCCTCATATATCTCGCGTAGTACTGCTCGCCTTCTTCCGTACCTTGTGTACCGCCACTCTTTCCTTCCCTCTCGTGTAATTTACCTCTGGTATATCTAGCCTTTCCTCTAGTTACTCACCGTTCTCTCTCTCGAATACCTTACGTACCTCTGCTCGCTTTCTTTCCTATCATGAACATTGCATACCGCTATTCACCTTCTTTCCTCTCATATATATTGCATAGCGCTACACGCCTTCTTCTCTATCTTGCATACCGTTTCTCACCGTCCTCTCTCTCATGTATCTTGCGCACCGATACTCACTTTCTCTCTTCTTATATATATCTTGCGTAGCACTACTCGCCTTCCCCCATCCCGTATACCTTACATACCGCTACACATCTTTCCTCTAGTGTACCTTACTCACCGCCTTCCTCTCATATAGTTTTAACTATTCTACTGTTAATTTATCTCTGTTGTACAACACCCTGATATAATTAAACTATAATATACTTTGAACAAAGTTGTCATGTTTAAAGAAGTGAATGAGAAAATCTCAGTTGTCTAGTAAGTCCGCTTTACTCAAATAATCACCGTTTCTGACACAACCAATACTTAAACACATACATAACATATATAAAAAACACACCGGTTAATATTTATTTATTAACGTTAATACCATATATTATCGAAAATCGAACCCGCGACCATTGGAACTAAATCGCATGCTAAACTATTAGATCATCAAAACCGACTGGAATTAAACAGTTTTTTTTTTTGACTACTCTAATGCTGTTGTCCGCAGTTGGCCTTTACAGCTTCACCGGACGATAGGGGAGTGAACGAGTGCAGATGACACTCCAAACCAAGGAAGGACTTATGTAGCGGCTGCAGACCAACTCCGGCCTGACGGATACGACTTTAGTCTGAGGGCACTTGGGGTTCGAACCTCGGCTCAGGCCATCGTAACATCGATCGTTGAATTGGACGGGGGATCGATCGGAGGGGTCTATACAGTGGTGAGAATAGTCGTTTTATAACGTCATTGTATTGAATGTGGGGTATTGGTGGCGCAGGAGTCGATGCCCCGCGGTGTGGGGTTCCAGCACGCACTAGCAGCGCTGGACGTCAGCGGGCGCGGCGAGGAGAGCTTCACACTAGCGCTGCAAGCAGCGCGTGCAGCGCTGCAAGCGACTGCAGCACTCGCTAACGCCACGCTCGCCGCCCGCGCCACACACCTCGCCGGGCCCTTCGGGTACTTCGTAGTGCAGGAGGTATGTTCCCAAATTCCCCCAATAGCTGTCTATACGTACGCTCGTATAGGCTTTCACGCAGAAAGGAATGTGTATGTAAATGTAGACAAAAAGAACGAGATAGTACGCAGACGCATTTCCAAACGTACAGGACGCTCGTATAGGCAGCATTCCAAGCAGGAAAGAATGGCATGTTCTTTTTTTTTATAACACAGGGGACAAACGAGCATGCGGCTCACCTGATGGTAAGTGATTACCGCCGCCCATGAGCACCCGCAACACCAGGAAAATTGCAAGTACGTTGTCGGCCTTTTAAAAAGGAATAAGCTCTTTTCTTGAAGGTTTCAATATCGTATCGGTTCGGAAATATCATTGCTGGAAGGTGATTCCACAATGTGGTTGTGCGAGGCAAAAAGTTTCTAGAAAACCGCACTGTGGAAAATCGCCATTCATTCAGATGATCAGGATGTTCAAATTCAAATTCGAAGCCTTTATTAGTCGACACAAAATTATACCATCTAACATAATATTTAATTAAAAGTTTAAAAGATAAAAGAAATATTAGTTATACTAGATGAAAACCCGGCTTCGCTCGGATGAAATGTGGGTAGATATTTCTGTAGTCATCGGTTCTCATGGAATATTAAAAGTAAGCAAGGCATAGATTTGAAAATCTTCGGCGGCGCCGTGGTATGGCAGCGTGTCCGCACATGTAGCGTGCGTGTGTCGCAGGGCTCGGCGGGGGCGGGGTGGGCGCGCGGGGCGGCGTGGCTGGCGGCGGCGGCGCGGTGGGTGGCGGGGGGGGCCTCCGCGCCGCCTAGTATGTAATACGAGATCGGGCGAGCCGTGGTATGGCAGCGTGTCCGCACGTGTAGCGTGCGTGTGTCGCAGGGCTCGGCGGGGGCGGGGTGGGCGCGCGGGGCGGCGTGGCTGGCGGCGGCGGCGCGGTGGGTGGCGGGGGGGGGCCTCCGCGCCGCCTAGTATGTAATACGAGATCGGGCGAGCCGTGGTATGGCAGCGTGTCCGCACGTGTAGCGTGCGTGTGTCGCAGGGCTCGGCGGGGGCGGGGTGGGCGCGCGGGGCGGCGTGGCTGGCGGCGGCGGCGCGGTGGGTGGCGGGGGGGGCCACCGCGCCGCCTAGTATGTAATACGAGATCGGGCGAGCCGTGGTATGGCAGCGTGTCCGCACGTGTAGCGTGCGTGTGTCGCAGGGCTCGGCGGGGGCGGGGTGGGCGCGCGGGGCGGCGTGGCTGGCGGCGGCGGCGCGGTGGGTGGCGGGGGGGCCTCCGCGCCGCCTAGTATGTAATACGAGATCGGGCGAGCCGTGGTATGGCAGCGTGTCCGCACGTGTAGCGTGCGTGTGTCGCAGGGCTCGGCGGGGGCGGGGTGGGCGCGCGGGGCGGCGTGGCTGGCGGCGGCGGCGCGGTGGGTGGCGGGGGGGCCTCCGCGCCGCCTAGTATGTAATACGAGATCGGGCGAGCCGTGGTATGGCAGCGTGTCCGCACGTGTAGCGTGCGTGTGTCGCAGGGCTCGGCGGGGGCGGGGTGGGCGCGCGGGGCGGCGTGGCTGGCGGCGGCGGCGCGGTGGGTGGCGGGGGGGCCTCCGCGCCGCCTAGTATGTAATACGAGATCGGGCGAGCCGTGGTATGGCAGCGTGTCCGCACGTGTAGCGTGCGTGTGTCGCAGGGCTCGGCGGGGGCGGGGTGGGCGCGCGGGGCGGCGTGGCTGGCGGCGGCGGCGCGGTGGGTGGCGGGGGGCCTCCGCGCCGCCTAGTATGTAATACGAGATCGGGCGAGCCGTGGTATGGCAGCGTGTCCGCACGTGTAGCGTGCGTGTGTCGCAGGGCTCGGCGGGGGCGGGGTGGGCGCGCGGGGCGGCGTGGCTGGCGGCGGCGGCGCGGTGGGTGGCGGGGGGGGGGGGTGGGCTCCGCGCCGCCTAGTATGTAATACGAGATCGGGCGAGCCGTGGTATGGCAGCGTGTCCGCACGTGTAGCGTGCGTGTGTCGCAGGGCTCGGCGGGGGCGGGGTGGGCGCGCGGGGCGGCGTGGCTGGCGGCGGCGGCGCGGTGGGTGGCGGGGGGGGCCTCCGCGCCGCCTAGTATGTAATACGAGATCGGGCGAGCCGTGGTATGGCAGCGTGTCCGCACGTGTAGCGTGCGTGTGTCGCAGGGCTCGGCGGGGGCGGGGTGGGCGCGCGGGGCGGCGTGGCTGGCGGCGGCGGCGCGGTGGGTGTCGCGCGCGCGTCCGGGGGGCGCGCCGCTGCTGGCGAGCGCGCCGCGCGGGGACGACACCTGTCTGCTGCTCGGCATCCCGCCCAACTACGACGACGAGCCGCGCAAGTAACTCATACTTTATTATTATTTTTAGTAGTTTTTAACATATTTAGTAGTTTTTGACATGTTTAGTAGTTTCTGATATATTTAGTAGTTTAGAACAGCTTTAATAATTTCAGACATATTACATTATTTTAATTTTTTTCATTGTACTAATTAATTTCCACGCAGTACCACCTATGCCATTGTTTTGCTCACACTGTCTCTAAATTATATTTATTGCACAATTAAGAATATATAAAAAACAAATATTTATTTAAGTAACAATTGAAAAAAATATTTTTGATTTGATATGTGCAGTTTGTTCGGCGCGGCGTTCGAGCAGGCGGCTAGTCGCTGCGGGGCTTCAGTGCAGCTCGACTACGTGGACTCGTGGGTGGTGGCGCTGCCCACTGCGCAGCGCCCGCAGTTCCTCGACGCACTCACCGCGCTGCTCGCCTGACCACCACCTACCGTCGACCACTCACCACTCACCATCGGTGCAGCTCGACTTCGTGGACTCATGGTTGTTGGCGCTGCTCGCTATACAACGTCCGCAGTCCCTCTACGCACTCACCGCTCTGCTCGCCTGACCACTACCATCCACCACTTACAATATCATGACACTTACCATCAGGTTGTTGTACCATCACCTTGTTTGCAATTGCAGTTACGAGAACAAAATGCATTTGTATATAGAATGATTATGTAAACTATTTTAAGTTGATTGTGAAATGTATTAATTAGAAAGAAAAAAAAAACATTTGTTAGACATATCATATAGTTAATGTAGCACAATATTTTGACTTTTTACATTACATACAAGTTTAATCAGCAGGTTTGTTTGACAAAGTAAATAATTATAATACTTATATTTGTATTCAGAACTGATATTTAAAATGCAAAACAAGAATGGACTAATATCATATCATCATTATTTATAATACAGTGAATGCATGTATTTTGGCAGTTATTCTGACGGTCTCGGTGCTCTTTAGCACACCGCCTTACTTCAGATGGTTACGGGTTCGATTCCTCACACGGTACAAACATGTGATGAGACAATGACTATTTGTCTGGCTGTTTTCTATAATAACACTAATTTCCTATTTGTATATACCATAAAATTGCAAGTGTCTCTATATATTATATATGTATTTAAATATCAGTTTCATAGATGGCAGTGTGTGATTTGTACTAAATTATTATTTATGTATACAATAAGATTAATATTAATTATTAAAATCACAATTGAAATATAAAAATATCGAATGAAATCAACGCTTCAAAATGCTCAATAAACAATAATTATAGTGTAATAAAAACATTCAGTAATCGGATTAATTAGTATAATGTTTAGTTTAATATTTATTTTTAATAAGTATGAGATTAAATAAGATTTCAATATTCATTTGCCTTTTTATTATCATGGATGGATCATATTTATACATCAGTCATACATTTTATTTATTCTAAGATCTGTATTTATTAAAGAATTTCAATTTACTCATGACAATACTGGACATTTTAAATTAAATTTGGTCATAATAGAATAACAAAGTATTTTTAACCGGCTATAAAATCACTGGCGTCGTTGAAGCAGCGTTGGTAGCGCACTTAGGTATATAGGCAAAACATTAAGAATTGTGATTATGGGCCATAAATTACTTCATATGAATTTCATGATTTTTGACTCCTGCCCTAGCTCTTTTTGGTAGTAACATTTATGAAACACCACCTCCCTAGTGTGATGTAACATCTATAAATTTGAAGTGATTCGAAATTTTTTTTAAAAGTGACGTCACGATTTTTAGTACTATTTGATTTGTAGTACTTGTCACAATGTTATACTTTATCGACCACCTTGCTATTTACGCTTCCAAAACTAAAGCCGAATCGTGGATGATACAAATAAAACAATATTTAAAAATGTAAAAACTCATAATTTAATGTCAAAAATAAAGCCATGAATTGTAACAGACTATTTCAAGTGTTTTCTTTACAGTTTATTTCTAATAAATCTTGTTATCAGATCTAACGCCCAACGTGGCTGGTCATGAGGCACCATATGACCAGCATCCCGTACTAGCACCTCGGTCAGGTTACCAGCTTTCTTCACATACCCTGCTATATCTTCACCTACACGCCAAATGTGTCTCGGAGCTATTTTATACTCCTCTGCTGCCGAGAAGTTCAAGTTACGGAGGAAATTCTCAGTCAATGGGTATGCCACAATGATATCTAATTGGCCATTGTAAAACAAGATTCGGTAATGGGACAATAGCTCTGAGACATAAGGTGCAACTGATTTTAGAATATCATAAGCTAAGTGCAATTGTACTTCTTCACCGGAATTAAATGGCAACCCACCGACATGCACACTCTTTCGAACCTTATCATTCTGCAGCAACTTAGCAAGCATGGCTGTATTAATATCTTCTTTAGTGTACAAAAAGTTGTAGTAATCCTCAAATCCCGTGAATGCTTTGAAATATGAAAAATTAGTTAGCGCTCCATCCATCAATTTGTCCATAAGAAAGTCAGCTGCCTGCCAATTATTTTCTTTAATTTCAGTAACAATTTTTGTTTGCAAATTCTCAAAAATCAACAATTGGTTGTTGTCTATCAAACCATGTTGATAGAGATAATTCCCATAATCTATTTGGTGGACAGGATCACAGTAAGCATTTCCCATCGCTAACCCTTTCAAATTAATAATACTTTCACCACCATTTAAATTTTGATTATGAATTTCCATAGCTAATGCCGGTACATATTTCCCTGCATATGATTCACCAGTAATGTAAAACTCATTGTTTTTTAAATTTGGAAACATAGTAAAGAATTGTTGTAAACTGCTATAAAGTCCTTTAGCTACACAGTCTTCATCAGAACAGTAGCCTTTTTCATTATCAGTAAAGCTAAAACCTGTACCGACTGGGTTGTCTATAAAAATTAGGTGATGATTTAGAGCCCAATGATATTTTCTAAGAGCAAACCCGTCCCTCTTTGCTATTAAAGGGCCTAATTCTGTAAATAAACCAAATAACGAACTGCCCCCAGGTCCACCCTGGAGCCAGAGTATCACAGGCGCGGACGCATTTTTGGAAAATGGCGGGAAATACCAAAAATATTGGTTGGAGTTGTATGTTTCTTCAACTGTAAAGAAGCCGGCGTAACTCACGAAACCAATTTTATCTGTTATGGAGACGCGTGAGAGGTTTTGGGCTTCGAGAACTAGACCTTTTTTTATATACGGCGTAAGTATTAAGGGGTCACCGGCATCGCTCAGTTTCGCTTCCAATTTTAAACGAGGATACACATACGGAAATATTATTCCAAGCACCGATGGATATACACCGAACAATAACGTAATTAACAAAACACAACGATCATATAAATACATGTTTGTTACATAGTATTATTAATGTTATGGAATTTGAATAAATGAAATAGCTTTGTGAATTTCTTGTGTTTATTGAGATTAGCTAATTGGCACGATTGGCAGCCCATATGATAGTGATAGACGTCAGTGTCAAATGTCAAATCAACAAAGATTTTGACCTTAGGGATGCAAATTGCCATAAAAGATCGATATGTTTTAAAATATTATTTTGTTTTTGTAGGAGATGTATAGTTTTGTAAATAACCTCGACGAAAAAAAGATTTATTACCTAAGCTTAATATGTGTGTCTGTCTGTGGCTTCGTTATATAGCTATATTCGGTTCTATAGCTTCTAAATTTTGAGGATTATCGTATATAAATTGACGAGATTGAAAGTTCTTTGCTTTGATTTAGCTATTCAGACGTTTAAATACTTGACGCGTTCTCTAATTGACCATGGGATTTCACCAACACTACCAAGCAATTTTAATAACGTAAATAAATTTAAATTTAATCACAATTTACCGGATTTTAAAAGCAGTTTTTATCTATCGAAGTGTTAATACATGTGTAGCAGCATACTTTCTACACGTGCCATCCTTAATCCTTATAATTTCCTAAAATTCTTATCGCACGGCACGTGTAACATAAGCAACTCAGCGGCGCGACCTTCAAACCGTTGCTACCGGCAGCAGCGCGTGTACGCGATACGTGTAACTTTGTATAAGGCCGAAACATCTCCTTAATAAAAACACTATTCTGTCTCTCCTATCTATCATTTCAAGCTCCCAAGTTCTCGACCTAGTAGGTCCTAGACCTAACATTCACCCCCTTAAACATGATTTTAATTTGAGTTTATTTTTTTTAAACACAGGAAAAAGCCTAAAACAAAAACACTAATGTTTTATTTAAACGTCTGAATAGTGATCACTAACGTTTTATCAGATATGAAAAACAGTGATTTTATTAAAAAAAATGATAGGTAAAAGAATGTCGATGTCGATATTTCCTTACTGAAGCACTATGTATATATAAATAATCGGTGTACTGATATAAGTTGTTGAACTGAATTTATAGTGAAATTAATTAGTAACGCTTTCTCATTTAGTTTTTAATGAACCAACTAAATATCGTTTAATTTTTGTGCATTCTATATGTCCTGAAAATGAATCGCCTATTTTTTTATTTATTTACTATACAATTTTTTGTATGTGTCCGGTGTTTCCTTCACCGGTATCCACATATAGAGCTCGGCGAGCGCGATGGCGACGACGCCGGCGACCCGCTCTTCCTCACGCAGTACGTGGAAAGCGGGAATATCACGGAAGGAAGACGACTGGCGCGCGTTCCCTTCACCGAAAGTTTAGGAATCAAAAGTTACGCCGGCTACTTTACAGTGAATAAGGCTTATGACTCCAATCAGTTCTTCTGGTACTTTCCTGCTATGTTACCTGATAATAAGTATGCTCCAGTGGTAGTGTGGCTTCAGGGTGGTCCAGGCGCTACCTCCTTATACGGTCTGTTTACAGAAAATGGTCCTATCAAAGTGGTAAATGAAAAATTTGTACGTCGGAAGTACAATTGGGCGCTGAATCATCACATTATTTATATTGACAACCCTGTGGGCACGGGGTTCAGTTTTACTAAGGACGTAAAGGGATATTGCACAGATGAGGTGCAGGTTGGTGAGCAGTTGTACTCAACTGTGATGCAGTTCTTACAATTGTTTCCAGAACTGCAGCAGAATAAGTTTTTCGTTACTGGCGAGTCCTACGCTGGGAAGTATGTGCCGGCTCTGGCATATACCATTCATAAGAAGAATCCTAGTGCAAAATTGAAGGTAAACTTGAAGGGTGTAGCTATTGGTAATGGTTTAAGTGACCCGCAACACCAGATGTTGTATAGTAAGTATTTGTATCAAATCGGACTCATTGATTGGAATCAAGAAAAAGTATTCTCCGAGTTTGAACAGAAAACTGTGAGTTATATACAAAGCGGGAAATGGGAGGAAGCATTTAATACATTCGATACACTTCTCAATGGTGACTTAATTGATGGCAAAAGTATATTTTACAACATGACAGGTTTTAACTTTTATTTCAACTATCTCCATACAAAAGATTACACTAAGGAAGAATTTGGGATACTGTTACAGAAGAGTTCTGTACGTAAACAGATTCATGTGGGGAACAGGCCCTTCAACAATGGTACTGAAGTTGAGAAGCACTTGAAACAAGACGTCATGAAGTCAGTCGCACCTTGGGTAGCTGAGCTATTGGACAACTATTACGTTGTCATATACAATGGTCAACTTGATATCATTGTGGCATATCCGTTGACGGTGAATTACTTGAGAAACCTAAATTTCACAGGATCTGAAGAGTATAAGACAGCTAAGAGGTATATATGGGAAGTGGATGGTGAGGTAGCTGGATATGTAAAGCAGGCAGGCAAACTTGTCGAGATCTTAGTCCGCGATGCTGGCCACATGGTGCCAGGTGACCAGCCAAAGTGGGCACTTGACTTGATAACACGGTTTACACATGAGAAAACATACAATAAGCATCTTCAAAGAATTAGATTTTAAGTATTAATACTCATTTATATGTGGACAAAATGTCTTTTTGTACGAAATTTTTTAAACAATTTGTCTCGAGTTGATTTAAAATATTGTTAATAATTGTTCCTATCTAAGATTATTTTAAATGTCCTAACTACATTGCAAGTTTATGTTTAGTGATTATCATCAAAAATGCTTGTAACTGAAACTGTAATAAGAGTAGATAAGCAAGCATCTTATATTATTGTAACTTGAATCTCTACATGAGTGCTCTCTAACCAGTGAATGCTGACTGCTGATAATGAAAAAAACATTGTTTTCTCTGTAATGCTGACTAAACAAAGATGTCATTGAAATTACCTGTGTAGGTAAATAAGTAGCTTGTTTGATGTAAACAAAACTCTTAAAATTGTTACTTATTTTGTATACAATAAAGTATATTTCCAATTTTAATATTTCTCCTGAGTTTATTTGCCTAAAACATATTTATATAAGTGGTCATCACATTTTCCATATGCCCAATATCAGTTTGAGAAATTTCATGAAGACCTGATGACTAATACAGTGGTAGCACTAGTAACACTTCAAAACTCACTCTAAAATAAGTAATGTTCATTATATACCATAATAGTTTTTCAAAGTTGTATTATAATAGTTAGTTTTAGTGCTAATTGGTAGTTTGTATTCACACACTTTAAACTTAAAACTGTAATGTAAGAATAAAATTATTTAAAAGAGCAACACACAAGTTTCTTGCTCGTTCTTCTTGTGATGAGACAGCTTTCTGAATGAGTGGTAGATTAAAAAAAATGTGATGACTATTCAAAAGTGCTTCAATGTAAGTTTATTTGAATAAATGATTTTCTATTCTATTCTTAAAGCAAAGGGGAAAAGGTGTGAATTTAGAAAGTTTCTAAGATGGAGATCACTGGGAAAAAGTAAAAAATACTACAATTTTAGTACAATATAATATGTAATGTCACTTTAATTAGAGACTGTAGTGTTATGAAAACGAAAACCTATAATTACATGAACATATTACGGTCACTTAGTACTGTGGAAATTAACAAAACCTTAGATTTACTAAACACTCATTGAACATACAGTTATAAATGACATTTTAACTTTACCACAGCTGATGGGACCATGTAGTTAAAAAGGAATGACAAACTAAATCTCTCTCCTATCGTCCTTCTATGTAAGTAGACAATTCAATTTCTTCAGGCAGCTCCGTGATGTTGACGTCAAAACGGTCCTGTACCTCGTTCAGGATCTTGGCATCGCCTTCATCAGATACCATTGTAATCGCAAGCCCTTTGGTTCCAAATCTTCCTGCTCGAGCTACTCTGTGCAAATATGTGTCAGAGTCTTCAGGCATGTCGTAATTGAACACAATGTTGACTCTTTCTATATCCATCCCTCGTCCAAACAGATTAGTGGCCACGAGTATCCTCTTTTGGAAGTCTTTGAACTGCTGGTACCGGGAGAGACGCTCATCTTGAGTCATGCTGCGGTGGATGCCGATCGCCGGGAAGTTCTGGTCTGTCAGCAGCTGCGCCAAGGCTATACAGCGCTGTACGGACTTCACAAATATAACTACTTGATTAAATTCTAACACATCCAAAAGCTCAAACAGCTTCTTGTTCTTCTCATTCTCCTTAAGTTTAACATAGTGCTGCTGCAATCCATGCAGCGTCAGTTTGGCTTCATCATCCACATACACCTCCATGGGGTCTTGCATGAATTTTTTACATACTGGACGAATTTCTTTACTCAATGTTGCCGAAAACATCATAACTTGTTTCCCATGGGGTGTATTTCTGAATATTTCCTGCACATCTCGTCTCATGTCCAGAGATTCGAGCATTTTATCACACTCATCAAGTATGAAGTGTTTCAAGTGTTTTAGATTCAGTTTCTTACTATTCACTAAGGCGAGGATGCGGCCAGGAGTGCCAACAACGATATGAGGGCACGCTGTTTTGAGTACCTCCTCGTCCTTCTGTATGGGCATCCCGCCAAAAAACACCGATACCTTCACACCCGGCATGTATTTGGAGAATCTCTCGTATTCCTTGCTGATTTGAAAAGCGAGCTCCCTTGTGTGGCACATAACTAGCACATACACAAGATCTTCAATCGACTCCAGTTGCTGCAAGGTCGCCAAAACAAACACTGCAGTTTTACCCATACCGGATTTCGCTTGGCACAGAATATCCATGCCCAAAACGGCCTGCGGAATACACTCATGTTGTACTTCTGAAGGGTGCTCGAAACCACAGTCGACGATGGCGCGTAAAATCTCAGGTTTTAACAAGAAATCTCTAAAACCGGAACTGTGGATAGATACATACGATCCCTTAACCTCTTTCTTTGTTTGGGCCGCCTCTGTTGCTCCCTCAGTGGTCTGCTGATCCGCCTGTTCTTCATCTTCATAATCGAGAAGGTCGTCGTTATCAGCCATGATTTATTTATTTGTAAAAATAAGTATTATTCACGTACTAAGCACGTGAAAATTTTATTTTGTAAATCTTACTATTAACAATGGCGTCTTTGGCGTCAATAAACAGTGTTACCATATTTGAAATTACAAATTGTGCCCGTCTTTGATACGTAATATGCAAAATCGGCCAAAAGCAATTTATAAAAACGACGACCGGCCTTTTAAGTTGTTGATTTTTATTTTATATTTAAATGTATTACAAAATAGCATTAATTATTTGTTTCACATATTTCAGTTAAGTTTGATAATTTTGTTAAGTAAATTATAATGTGTACCTTTCTTATTTGTTTGCTAAATCGATTAATTTCATTTGAGTATATATTAAAAAGCAGTATTTGCTAGTTATTACTATTCAGTAATGACTTATTTTCTTAACAAAATGTTCATACAATAAGTACAGAAGTCACTTACGACCATATACATGTACGTAATATGAACGAGTTATAATTGTTAGTCCGTTTCTAGAAATCAGTTTTATACTGAAACAACATTTATAATATTTTAAATGAGCATCTGTATCCTTATGTGATTTAAATTATGAACTATCCATATACAAAAATAATGAGTTGATTAGATCTGGGAAATGTTATTTATCGGTTTACATCAGATTATGTTAAAAAAATCAAAGAAATGTCATGGACACAATAATAATAATAATGGTCTATTATAGACGACTTATAGCGTGATGGTCTGTAAAAAGCTCTTTTCGTAGCTGTATAAAACGATACGAGAGCGGCATAGCCTACCATAAGCTCGACAAGAGAAATTATTTGCAGTAGTCGGTACTGAGCCGCCTAGATGGCGTTTCCGTCTCTTGTCAGCAAGTCTTTGAATCCAGGCATCATGGACATAAGAGTGTCAAATTTGTTGTATTAAAACTGATAATTTAATTCGTTTTCATTGCAAAATATCACGTTTATTATTACAAATTACAATACATTAGAAGATGCTTATCTAGCCATAACGGCACGAAATTCCCACGTATGGTATCATATGATCAGTAATAGTGTTGTTCAGTGTTGTTGCACAATAATGAGCAAATATCTGTATCGAATTATCGATTAAATTGTTTACTGTACATTGGTAGCTGATATTATACCATTTATGTAGCTATATTTATGTGTAAAAATAATACTAGTTCGATTTCTATTAATTGTCTTCTATTCAATGTTAATTAACATATATTATACTATGAATCGGAGGATATTAGTCGATATTATTAGAGATAATATCATGAAAAATATAAGAAAAACTCGAATTAGTCAGGTTATTACGTAACCATTATATCGGTTTAACGTTCAGAGTTCTCCTCGTTATGAAGGCGTTCGAGGACTAGGTCTGCCCTGGTCTTATTATGTTTTTTTTGTGCCAGGTGCACCGGGGACGGTTTGCGTAAGGTGACCAACAATTTTTTGTTCAAAAAGAGTACACTTTGCAAGTATTTCATAGGTGAAAAAAAAAAACAAAAATCAATAAAAACTTTATTTTCTTTTAAATGTTTTTTTTTTGCTAAATGAGGATGTTCGTCTAATGATGTAGCCACATCCGAACAACTTTCATTTTACATATTAATTTTGACTGTTAAGCCAGCAGATAATAATCGTTCGCTAGTGAAAATAATGTTCAGGTACTAATGCCTGTTGACCTTTTCAACAGCAGCATTAATGCCTGGACATCATAACGAAATTTCTATTACAATTTTTAAATTTTCATGTGGGATATGTTCATCTCCTAAATGCCGAAAGATTTCTACCCGTCTTTTGTCAAGTTCTATTTTCTCATCTTTTCATTTCTTCAATTTTTGTTATTTTAAATATAAATTTACTCATACTATAAATGAGTATAAAAATTATACAAATGAGTACTTTCAGAGTACAGGATTTGAAAAGAGTACGGTTTGTGAAAAAAGAGTACAAAAGTCAATAAATGAGTATAGTTGATCACTTTAGTTTACGCGACTGATTGCCGCACTATGTCTGTAAGGAATGCCGTATGGTTTTTAGCCGGTAGGAGTCCGTACTGTTTCTTGGGTCCGGTACTATTCGTCGTCTAGAACGCTTATGCGGGTCTCTCTGATGGATTTTTCCTATATTAACTTTTGCTGTAAATATTTACATTGCACTGTACTCGGCTTATCTACTCTATTTTATTGTTCTGAAAATTCGTTAAGTTAATAAATATAATAGCTACTTGGAATATCAAAATAAATCAGTTATATTTATCAGAGCAGTCCAGTTTCTACAAGATGCATGGTAAAGCCAGATAGAAATAATTGTACAGTTTTCATAAAATCGATTTATTTTCATCTCTATTTGTTTCTTACAATAAGGTCTAGTTTCTAATTAAATATAACTATAAAACTACTGCAGTAAAATGATACAAGTTTTGTTTGTATTAGAGAATAATATGTGACTTTTTATACGACAGTGTTGTGTTGACAAAGGAACATAAGCCACGCCTGATGGTAAACAAAAACATTAGTTTGACGACGGTGGTTTAGCGGTTTAAGACGTCGCTTTACTTCCTATGGTCTCGGATTCGATTCCTCTCACAATAAAGTTTGTTTTCACGAGTATGATTGTTTGTATTGGTGTGGTTGTTTCCTATGTAAATTATTTGCGTGAGCGACGATTACCATTTACCATCAGATGGGGCGTATGCTAACTTGCCACAGGTTAAAAAAAATCTTTCCTTCATTAACCTAGAACAGCCTATTGTCTTTAATACTTTAAAAACTAACAACTACAATTACTTACTAGAGAAATAGGCCATAGATCTTTCTGAGTGCCGTTTTAACCATATTTGGGGCCGGGGTGCAGGTGGACAAAAATACAAAATTAACATTATTTATATTAATACTATATAATATGTGAATTTAATAGGTAATTAGAGGTATATATTTATATTATATTGTTGTGTACTTGTACTGGCTAATCAGAAATGTATTTTTTCTTCTTCTAAAATAAATCATATCATATCATATCATATCTAAAATAGTTCTTTTATTGTAATTTCTTTTATACTTCAATGTTTTGTGAATCGTTCATATATAAATCTCCGTATCCCTAGTTTTTTTCTTCTATTTTCTTTTACATCTATACATATAAATAAAATTGGAGTGTCTGTATAAATACGGTACATACACCAAAATAGCATTTTTTACAATTTTTGTCTGTCTGTCGGTCTGTTTGTTTCGGCTAATCTGTGAAATGGCTGGACCGATTTTGACGGGACTTTTCTTGGCAGGTAGCTGATGTAATAAGGAGTAACTTAGGCTACTTTTATTTTAGAAAAAAAAGTTAAATTCCACGCGGACGAAGTCGCGTGTACAGCTAGTATAAAATAAAACTACAACAATTATTATTTATTTTTGTGCAATAACGTTGACCTAGATTGAATTTAGAGGTTAATAAAACCTGATTTCATCGCATCAGGCTGCACCCCTTGAACCATCAGGTAAAAACGGCCATGATCATTCTAGAACCACAGACAATCTAGAACTAACATTTCTCACTATACGGCTTCAAAGGTTTAAAATCCGCGTTACCACTCAGGTAAGCGTCGACGAAGTTCTGCACCGAATCCGTTGTGATCTCGTCCCCGTACTTCATGGTCACCAGCTTCTGTTTCGGGAAGTCGATCACCGTCAGCAACGGTACAGCATCATCCAAGCCTATATGCTCCCTCAACATATCAGCACTATCTGCCCCGTCGACTCCTATGTAGAACATCGTGTGCTTGAAGGACTTTTTCTTCACTCGAGAATGTTTGGACGTGGGGTAGTCGAAGTCCATGGTTTCATCGTCTGAGGAGTTCTGGTAGGGGCAGAATCCAGGGTATTGGATGCTGCATTCCTCGTAGTAGGATTCCGCTGACGGCGTGAGGACCGACTCGGCGAATTCTATCTCGGAGTCTTCATCATCTGAAAATAAATATTAATTCATATATATAGGTCTCATTATTGTGATAAAGTGAAATATATTCTATTTAATTTATACTATTCACTGTGCGTAAGACTTAATTCAAAATATAATTATTTATTTTCGGACAACCAAAACCATTGTTCGTGGGTTTTTTTATGGGTGATAATGGAACGGTGCACCAGCCTGCGCTAACGGTTTACGCTGGCGGGGCACCAGTGGAGGATGATAAGATGAACATGAGGTCAGGTCAGTTAGCCCATTGTTTGTTTCCAGGGGAACCGCGTGGAGGTCAACCTGACATGGTACATTGCTAGTAATAGGGTCATGAGTCCACATTACTGACAATTTGTTTTTCTTTCATTAAATTAGTCACTGAAGAGTCTCTTACAAGGGCTAGAGCTTTAATTATTGTTTAATATAAATTAGATTGATATTTTGATGGATTTCAACTTTGTAATTCTTGACGTGTATTAGGAGTATTTTCAAAGCAAGGAAAACTTCTTTTGCTGTAAGTTCGCAGTTATAGTTTAATACCATCTCACAAAGCATGATCTAGTAGTTGACTTTTCTTGCAACGTCCAGCTCCAGTACATTAGTCACAAACATTTTTATTGTATTTATCTATTCTAAATTAGTTTTGTTATTATTTTTAGACCATGGGGTTGACGAAAAAATTGGTATTTGGAACAGATAAGGGATTGTTAGTAATGTGGATTATTAACCCCCATTGGTAGCTGTACCATGTCAGGTTGACCTCTACGCGGTTCCCCCTGGAAACCATCGTGATAAATTCCACGAATTTGCCACGATGGGCTAACTGACCTGATCTCAGGCTCATCTTATCATACTCCACTGGTGCCCTACCAGCGTGAACCGTTAGCGCAGGCGGGAACACAATTCCATTATCATCATTAAAAAAAAATAGTACAGATAAAAAAACGAAGGCACTCAGAACTTGTATACCTTAAACAGAACCACCCTCAAGATTACGTACTTAACGGCAATAAAGATCTCGAAGATTAATGATGCTTTTAGTAAATGTTATCCGAGTCTCATTATTATGAACCTTATCGCAACGTAATAGAGTATATATTACGGTGTAATCTTCAACAGTTTTAATTATTTGTAATGATGTAGATATTATTATGAGGTTAAGTAATAAAAATGTTTTCGTTTGTACGATAGTATCTGGCCTTAGATATAGAAAAATCGATACCCGAGTCGAATAATTGTAATGCGAGCGTTGCGATTATTAAATTTATTTTTAGGTAAGGTCCAAGATGCTTATGTATACATAGAAGCCTTGCCTTTCATCATTATATAGTATAAAATAAAGTCGCTGTCGCTGTCTGTCCGTCCCTATGTACATCTTTAAAACTACGCAACGGATTTTGAAGCGGTTGTTTTAAATAGATAGAGTGATTTAAGAGGAAGGTTTATATGTATAATATATGTACAGCCTTGCGAAGCCGGGGCAAGTAGCTAGTTACATAGTATAAAACAAAGTCGCTGTCGCTGTCTGTCTGTCCCTATGTATGCTTAATCTTTAAAACTACGCAACGGATTTTGAAGCGGTTTTAAATAGATAGAGTGATTCAAGAGGAAGGTTTATATGTATAATACATGTACATCCGGGCTAAGCCAGGGCGAATAGCTAGTATTGTATATATTAAGCATTTAGTTACTTAAATGTCAAAGTAATTACAAATCATGATGTAAGAAAAACAATAATCCACAAATATTGTTTTGCCATTTATATAACGTCGACGACCTCGGTGATGTAGCGCTTTACGTCCAATGGTCGCGGGTTCGATTCCTCGCACGGCACAAACATTTGTATTCAGGAGTATGGTTGTCTGTATCGGTATGGGTCTGGGTCTGGGTCTTTTCTATGTATAGTATAATATGTATGTACGAAAAAAAAATTATCTATGTATGTATTTGTATCAGTTATCTAGTACCCATAACACAAGCTTTAGCTAGCTTAACTTGGGTCTAGATGGCGCTGTGTGAATTGTCCTGAGATTATTATTATTATATTAAAGTATCACTTGTTATATTGACATAACTTACCAATAAACAATACAACAGCTGGATGACGCGCCATCTTCAGCAGCGCCTGCTCGGTGAGAACCGACACTGGTCTTTGGGCCCACGGGAAATTCTGCAAACACGGTGAAAATATCTTGAAGCCACAAGTCATATTTATAACTATCTGTTCCCGCGACTTCGACCGCGTGGAATTTAACTTTATTTTTCTAAAATAAAAGTAGCCTAAGTTACTTCTTATTACATCAGCTACTTGCCAAAAAAAGTTCTGTCAAAATCGGTCCAGCCATTTCAGAGATTAGCCGGAACAAACAGACCGACAGACAGACAGACAAAAATTATAAAAAATGTTATTTTGGTATATGTACCGTATATATTCATATGCATGTAGTAAAAACAGGTTATTATTTTATTTATATGTATAGATGTATAGATTATTTTTTAATCTATACATCTATACATATAAATAAAATTGGAGTGTCTGTTTGTAATAACCTGTTTTTACTACATGCTACTTTACATTACTATGACTAAATAACAGATTGAATTATTTTGAATATATTTTTCGTTTTTTTCGCTATAACATAGGAATTATTTAGGAAAGGAAAGTACAAACAATCGAGAAAGGAAAGAAATCCAATCCAAATATCTTTATTCATGTAGGTCTATTACAGTCCCTTATGATATGTCAAATCTACCGTCAGTTCGGAGTGCTATTGAGCTAACATGAAACTCAACTCTTATTCCTTTCAAATGAGCTTGTACATGTTTATAAAAAAACTGATTCATTTTTAAATTCAAATTAGGGAGAAAAGACTGACCACAGCAGTTTTTAAGCCATAAAAATTTTAGCTCTGGACGATTGATACAGCGCCATCTAGTCCCACTGTAAGCAGAGACTTGTGTTATGGGTACTAGACAACTGATATAGGGGGATTGTTAGTAATGTGGACAAATGACCCCATTACTAGCAATGTACCATATCAGGTTGACCTCCACGCGGTTCCCCCTGGAATCCATCGTAATAAATTCTTAGTGAATTTGTTACGATGGGCTAATTAACCCGACCTCATGTTCATCTTATCATCCTCCACTGGTGCCCCGCCAGCGTAAACCGTTAGCGTAGGCGGGTGCATCATTCCATTATCCATTATCATCCATAAATAACTGATATACTTGTATATTTTTTTTTGTAAATACATATGTAATAAACATAGAAAACATCCAGTCTGATACAAACAATTCTACTCATAAATACAAATCTTTGCTACTAGCGAGGAATCGAACCCGCGACCATCGGAAGTAAAGCAGTGTGCTAAACCGTTAGACCACCGAGTTCGTTAGAACATCAATACTTACATATCCCAGTGGGTCAGCAGTCAAGTGTTGTCGGCCATTGGATGTGAGGACCTTCCCAGCTCCATCTGTGATGATCAGGGCGGGAATTCCGGCCACGCTGAGAGCAGCAGCCAGCGCCACCCGGGCCTCCGGTGCGGACCACGGCACTGACAGAGCTCCAACTCCTGACACCGACTGAACTGTCCGGTTGAAGGATTGTTCGCTTCTGTAATAGATTTCAATGAATTAATAGAAACAATAGTAATTTGAATGCCTCAATGGGCTAGCGATTTAGCACACCTCTTTGCTACCGATGTTCGCGGGTTATATTCCTCGTACGGTACAAACATTTGGGTATGATTGTTCGTATCGGTCCTTCGGTTTTGCTATGTATATTATTTAAAAAATGTATCTATCAGTTATAAAGTACCTATAACACAAGCTCTGTGTACCTTGGGACTAGATGTGGTACCACACCGCTTTACTTCAGATGGTCGCATATACGATATCATGATAGAGACTTATACAAATACTAGCTGTCCCGGCAAACGTTGTTTTGCCATATAAATTAATAACGCTATAAAAAAATAGGGGTTGATGATAGAAGGGGGAAAATTTAGGATTGTATGTATTTTTGTACGTTGTATCATAAAAAAAAACAGAAACTAAATTTTGTCTATAAATTAAATTTTGGGGTGGACTACCCCTAACATTTAGAGGGATGAAAAATAGATGTTGGCCGATTCTCAGACCTACTCAATACGCTCACAAAATTTCATGAGAATCGGTCAAGCCGTTTCGGAGGAGTATGAGAACGAAAACTGTGACACGAGAATTTTATATACAAGAAAATATACAGCTATGTCACGCTCGTCATACTGCGACTGCGCGCCGTGCAATATAGTGCATCTGTGGCGCATTACTTTTGCGCGGGAAAAATAAAAAACTTCTAAAATGGCTTCTTCTGCAGACATACTGATTAATTGTTGTTATATACGATTTGATGATAGAAACTTATACAAAGATATATTTTATGGAAATACATTAATAGAAAACACCCAGACCGATAAAAACAATATCCGAATCGAACCCACGACCATTTGAAGTAAAGCGGTGCAGCGGTGTGCTAAACCGCTAGACCACCGAGCCACTGGAATAGCAACGCATGAGTCTTATGGGGTCACATGACATGATGTCCATAGTCTGTATTAATTTCTGACACATGCTGATTGTAGCGAATTAAAAAAGAAATAATTTAGATCTTTTACGTCAAAAGGGAGATCTATTGTGCTGGCTTGCATTCCTTATTCCCAAGTATCCTAATTTCAAACTAGCGGTGCCATCTATGCGCCGATACAAGAAACCTTTTATCCCTTATCGACTCACAGCGGCTCTACACGTCATAGGTGCATTCAATATCCAACAAAACTTCTTTGCGTCGAGATGCGGTAATGGCGGCAGTGATTCATTTTAACTGATAACTTACAACAATTTAAATTGCTAATAACAGTTTGTGCTGGGCTAGCCCTTAGGCAGTGAAAAGTGTTTAAAGCTTTGGAAGACAAGTTTCTACATCAGTTCCAGTGAAATCAACCCTTTAAGAGAGGGGGGAAGGGGATTGTTAGTAATGTGGATTGATAACCCCATTGCTAGCAATGTACCATGTCAGGTCGACCTCCACGCGGTTCCCCCTGGAAACCATCGTGTTAAATTCCTGGTGAATTTGCATGATGGGCTAACTGACCTGACCTCATGCTCATCCTATCATCCTCCACTGGTGCCCCGCCAGCGTAAACCGTTAGCGCAGGCGGGTGCACCATTCCATTATCAACCCTAAAAAAAAAAACCCTTTAAGAGATCGCCCCAGCCATCAACTGTGAGTTTTTCCTTATGCAAGCTAGCCATTAGACGCTTCATTACTTAAACTCATATTTAAAAACTGAGCTATCTTCTTTTTACCCTCCCTGATCGGGTTCCAGGTTATAAACAATCCTTTTCAGGCCCGACCATCTATTACTTAACTGATTTAATATTATTGTGTATTTATATTTGACCCTAATAATTTAGTGCTGGTTGGTAGTTTGTATTCACACGTTTCGACTTGTAAATGTGAACTTACAAGGATTTTTTAAAAGAGCAACACACAAGTTCCTTGCTTGTTCTTCTTGTGATGAAACAAATTTCAGAATGAGTGGTAGATTAAAAAAAATATTATGACTATTCAGAAGTGCTTAAATAAAGTTTATTTGAATAAATGATTTTCTATTCTATTAAGTGAAGTGGACTACCGCAAAATAACATCTGATTCGACCAAATACATCAGCTATTTACCATCCAATGATATAAAACATATCTTATACACCGCAACAGAATCAATTCTACGTGATACGTAATTCGAGCACTAAAATAATACCTACAGTTGCTCCCCAAGCTCGTGTTTTCTTAAGAGCACGAAACATTATTACATATTCCATTTCGTGTACAATTTTCAGGAATATTGTTGCAGGAACATTCATCTCATATAAAGTGAGAGAGGCGCGGTGCGGCGCCGTCTGCAGAATTATTGTGCTCGTGTACTCTTGGGTATGGCCATAGATAACACTGAGACGTGTTCGGGACATGCTGTAATTTATGAGTTTTATACTACCTACGTGTAATATATACACTATGTATAATGTAATGCATATTTAATGTAAGTTTGAATACCTTAGCTGAGTTTCTTGTCAGTTCTTAAAATATAATATAATAATAATAATCTCAGGACAATTCACAGAGCACCATCTAGACCCAAGTTAAGCTAGCTAAAGTTTGTGTTATGGGTACTAGATAATTGATACAATTACTAATATAATAATATATATATATATATATATATATTTCGTAAATACATATTATATATACAAAACCCCCAGGCCGATACAAACAGTATACTCATGTTTATATATATATATATTTTTAAAATCACCTCAATGCCTACAATATTCACAATTACCTATCTCTTATTTGTTTTTATAATAATATAAACACTTCAACTTTTTCGCTCCAAAACTCCCGCTGCTTACGTTCAATCATCCGTCATCCACTTGTCAATGTCACATAGATTACTTTGGCTCTGGCCTCTGACGTTCCGTTTCAGGTTACATGATTATTGACTTTACCATTTTTAATTAATGGTGCATCACACGATAGTTAACAGTCGGCCATCCTGCAATAGTGTCTGGCCCAGACACATAGGTAACTGATGAGCGTAGTCATGCTTATCAAAGGATATAGTGTCTGTCTACAGGATCATATAACAAATACTAAATTAAATAAACTAAAGATATACATTACTTTCATAACATTGACTATCTTAGTATACTGTCAAAGGTTTACAATCTAAAATCAATACTAACAGAGCTAAGTTTCGGCATGCATTCAGAAATGCACAAAATATAACATAACATATATTAATTTACATAATCCAAATCACCCAAAAACATGAACAACCTTTTAGAGTAACAAACAATTATTTGGCGGTGATTGACTTCTATGAGTCAGACTGTAACATATCACCATCACAATGTAAGTTTCCGATCTTATGAACATTGCATTTTTTTATACCTCCAAAATAGAACTTGACATTCCACGTCATGAATATTTTAACGGATAAATTTAACATATCACATTACAAAAGGTAAAACTTAATTACCTACATATATAGAGAAAAAAAAATAAAGGGAAAGTAATATTCTCGTGACATAAAATTAGAACAAAATCGCTGCCTGCCTTCACCTAACCAATAGAAAATAACAGGTCAATATTATTCAAGTGGTTCTAATACCCTCAATACTACTACTACTATTTTACTTCGACGATACTCTTGATTTACCAGAGAATTATTTTAATATAACATAATTCATTGAATTTCAGTTATGATTTACTTAATAATACCATCAGCTCACTGGTCAAGTAATCTATTGCACCCTTTGAACCCTGTACATTTAGGGGACTATAAATGATTGTAGATACTGATCTCAATTTTCTTTACAACACCAGTTTAACATAAACCAAAACCCACTGTTCCAGATTAATGTGAAATAGAAATAATCTTTATTCAAATAAACTCAACACAAGCACCCTTGAGTAGTCAAGTTTTTTGAATCTATCGCTCATTCGGAACGCAGTTTCATCACAAGAAGAATAAACGAGAAACCTGTGTGTTGCTCCTTTAAATAAATATTGATTTACTTATATTTAATTAACAACAAGGATTAGGCATGCGGCAATCAACATAAAAACCGCTACGCACTTAATCTCCGTTCAATCAGACAACATTGACAGCGCTATGAATTTCAAGTTAGATATTTTCTAAAAAAAACACTGATTTATAAATGATGACATTTATAAATTCTTCAATTTTATAATAAGCCTTTTTTTTTTTTTTTACAAAGAAAATATTTTATGACACATTTGATTTCTTTTTCTGGCAAATTGAGTACAGACTCCGGGAGTCCGTTGCAAAACCCTGCGCAATCTCCATAAAACGAATTACCAACTTTCGTTAAACGAACGTGAGTTTAGTAAGCCTACTATTCACTTTATATTTAATCGATGGTATTCGTAGCCACTTCGGCCATCCAACGTTATCGAAGGGCCTCATTCGATATTATCATAACAGTTAACATCGGGTAATATAATAAAATTAAAATCATATAAAATTTAGTTTGAGATAATTTACATACTTAAAATATGAAAGTTGCCACTGACAACTACACATTACATTTCAACATCATGAATTCAGTCTTTGTTATATTTTTCCGCCTTAAGTTGTATCACTTAATTTTTCACACCAGGTACTAGTCAGCATCTCTGCAAACACGGCTGCCTAGCTAATTAGTGAAATACCTGTTAAAACAAAACATTAAAAAAAATGCCACCGCTTGCCCACTATGAGCTACGGTCTCAACAGATCTGGATTTTATTAGACTCAGCCACCGCTTGCCCGCACAAGGAGCTACGGCCTCAAACTGGTCAAATTCTCATTAGACTCAGCCACCGCTTGCCCACACAAGGAGCTACGGCCTCAAACTGGTCAGATTCTCATTAGACTCAGCCACCGCTTGCCGCCACAAGGAACTACGGCCTCCAACTGAAACACATCAAATATTTAACAACTGGTCATTTTCTCAATGAGGCATTCACCGCTTGCGCACGCAAGGAGTTACGGCCTCCAACTAGTCATAT